ATTTCAACACAGAAATACTGAAACTGAGTTGTGCTGATTGGCTGATGTGTTGTTTATCTTGCAGTAAAGAATTTTAACTCCTTTCAGATTTTTAATTTGCAAAATTGACTGTAGCCTGTTCATAATAATAATATGGCAACAATACAGAAACAAACTAGGTATTACATAATTATGTATATCCCAAAGGTGTTTTTTCAAGAGGCAACTGGACTGGGCTTTCTGGTTTTTCTCTGAAGACATTGCACTTCTCATCCAAGAAGCTTCTTCAGCTCTGAGGAGCTTCTTCAGAGCTGAAGAAGCTTCTTGGATGAGAAGTGAAATGTCTTCAAAGAAAACCCAGAAAGTCCAGTTGCCTCTTGAAAAAAGCATCTTTGGGACAACCATGGATGACTGGAAATCTCCATAGATAATTATGTATACTTTTCTTTTTTCACAAAATGTGAAAAATCATCTTCTTGCATATAGGAATGGAATGCCCGTTGATTTTTTTTTTTTGTAGAAAGAAAAGATGAATATTAAACAGAAAAAGAGCTCTAAAATTAGTATATTAAATTAATACAAATCATCCAAATAACAACATTTCAATGTAGCCTCCAAATGTGCTAACAACAACAATCAACAAGGAAAAGAGTCTCCATCTGTTGCAAGAAAGTAGATTCTCAGAAATGTTAATTACATGTGCATTAAAAAAAAAAGTGACAAGAATGCAGGGATGCAAGAATGCTCTTTGGAGTACCAGAGCTGGATTGCAAAATTCCAATCATTGGCTAGATACTAGCAAAAAAAAGTTTCTTCTGCCATCCAATGGCTAGCAGGATATTTGCAATCCAAATAACGTTAAATTTTGATTTAGCAAAATCAGAACTAAAAATCAGAGGCTAGTAGCCCCATTTCCTACTAACAAATTTAAATGAAAGGCATAAGCTCCTTTGAGCGGCAGCTCTCATCATTAGATACAAGTTTTGCATTTGAAATGCAAAAAATGCCCAGAAGCCAAAAACTAAGTTGCAGTTCACAAAAGATTATAGCTTTTAATAAAATTTGTTCGTAGGAAAAGGTGCTACCAGGATCCTTGTTATTTATGTGAATATACTCTTCTGAGTATAGTATTTAGGTTATGAAGGTGTCTCATTTATATTACAGAATTTGATGGAGTGATTGATCTTTGATATATTTGCATTTAGCATAAACACTAGGCAGATTGTCTAAGAATAGAAATTATCTATCTATCTATCTATCTATCTATTATCTATCTATCTATCTATCTATCTATCATCTATCTACCTACCTACCTACCCACCCCTCTTTCTCTCTCTCTCTCTACCTACCTACCTACCTCTATCTATCTATCTATCTAATCTATCTATCTATCTATCTATCTATCTATCTATCTATCTATCTATCATCTACCTAAAAAATTTAAGAATAGAAGTATCTTCTGCACTAATGTGGAAGTACAGCTAGTAGCCAGAAGATTCAGAACTGCCTAATTGTCTTCTTTTAGCCCTCAGCAGGCTGGTAAAAAAAAAATTAAATTAAATTACAGGCTACAAACATTTATAGGCTTATTTAAAAGACTGATGGATTATAAACAAATTATATGTTCCTTCTCCAGGCTCTCTCAGTTGAGCAATTACATGGTTTGAATAATTGAACCCCTGAATCATTCAATCACTACATTCCTTATAATAGTGGAGTGCATTTTTTTTTCTCCTAAGCCGAAAACCACACTTGGACTTTAACTGATAAGCCAGGATTCTCATTTTTAAAAGTAGCGAATGCAATGAGTGGAACAAGGGAAAAAAATTAAATATAACCAATATGATGACTTTCTTATTACATATATAATACTTTCCCCTTTCCTTCCATTAAGAACTACAATTTGGTAACAGCTTTTGGAAGCTTCTGTAGATCTCACCCAAGGCTATTATTAGGGACCTATGACTGTGTTACTTTGCCTTACCAAATGCTCCCTTACTGGGGATATGCAAAACCTTCCATTCTGGGAACAAAGTTGATTAAAAAACAACTTCCAAATGTGATTCTTACCAATGTAATCATTACAATATTATTAATGTTGCTCTCTGCCAGCATATGCCACAATAATGAAATGCAAGCCAGGTGACTTCTTTAGGGGATGAATAAATTTCAAGACTACTTAGTGTGTGTGAGTGTGGTAGAGGTTTCATGGAAGGTTGCTTCCTTCTAATTAGGAGCTAGGAGGACTCTGCCTAAGAGACATCTCATTTTCTTGAAGGTTTTCTAGTTTTTGTTGCTAGGAGGCTTTTACAGGTAGTCCTCGACATACAACCACAATTGAGCCCAAAATTTATGTTGCTAAATGAGAAATTTGTTCAGTGACTATTGCCCCCAATTTACGACTTTGCTTGCCAATGATTCACTTTGTTAAGTGAATCATTGCAGTTGTTAAATGAGTAACTGTTGTGGTCCGCCAGCAGCCTGCGGAGCTGGCAGCGGAGTCGGATGAGGCCCGGATGAGGGCTCTGCATCGGAGGCAGAGATGGGGCCAGGGCCATCAGGGAGTGATGTGTGGACTCCGGAGCCTCTAGAGGCTGACATTAGAGAGGCAGAGGAACAGGAGGAGCCTGTTCCTAGTGCACACACGAGAAGAGCTGCCAGAAGGCAAGAGCAGCTAAAACAAAAAGGATGACTTGGGAGTAAGGCCAAGAGATGATTGGCTCCTCCCATAAGGCTTAAAAGACCAGCAACAGCTCTTGGGCTCTTTGTCAGAAAACAACATTGATAAATTTTTTTCTTGTCTTGCTGCATTTATTTCCTGTTGGCGTCTTCTGCTCCTGAACTTTTGCCAAGAAAAGCCTTTGGCAGGTTGCCTAATTAGACCAAAGTTGGTGATAAGGCTGAAGAATTGTGTTATGAAGAATTTGTTTTGAATTAATTTGGACTACGCTGAGAATGAGTTAATTCTCAGCTGTTCTAATAAAGTCTGTTTGTTTTTGAACTGATTGCGTCTGATAACACCTACCTGGGCCTGCGTCACAACAGTAACATGGTTGTTAAGTGAATCTGTTTTCCCCATTGACTTTACTTGTCAGACCCTGCTGGAACACTGCAACCATCATAAATATGAACCAGTTGCCAAGTGTCTGAATTTTGATCATGGGATGACTGAGCAGCTGCAACGTGTGAAAAATGGTCATAAGCCACTTTTTTCAGTGCCGTTGTAACTTGGAACTTTGAAGTGAGCTGCTGTAAATTGAGGACTACCTGTAGTTTGAGCATAGTGATTAACTCCAAACATTGCTTATTCAAGTCTGCCAGGGCAAATAGATGCCTGAGGCTGAAATGAACTCTGACCTACTGTGTCCACTCTATACAGTGTCTGTATTCTGGACATTCACCTTTGGAACCTGGCAAGCTATCTGGGAACAATAGGAGATTCACATCCAAACTTTAACTGGCTAATTGAAGTCTGTTCTTGTTGTCGATGTGCCTTCTCAAAATGTTGGATTTCTACTCCCACAAATTCTAGTCCATATACTTTTTTCAAGTTGGTGATTAATGAACACAGCCTGTTTCTAAATCTTATCTCCATTTTGTGTTAATCTAAAAAATTATTAAGAGCCCCCCCTTTCTTTCATAGTAAAACAAAGGAACAAAATCAAGGCACTGTAGGTTAGGGAAGAGTAATAGTCTATCCCAATGTTTCTCAACCTTGGTAATTTAAAGTTGTGTGGGCTTCAACTCCCAGAAATCCCCTGCCAGTTGAAGTCCACACAACTTCAAGTTGCCAAGGTTGAGAAACATTCATCTATCCCAGGGGTGTCAAACTCAAGGCCCGCAGGCCGGATCTGGCCCGTGGGGTGCTTAGATCTGGCCTGTGGGGCTGCCCTGGAAACAGTGAAGGACCAGCCCATGGTGCCTCTGCCAGTGGAAATAGAGCTCAGGAGGGCCGCACATGGTGGCCTTTTTCGCTGACAGAGGGCTGCAGGAGGCCATCACAGCCAGAAATGGAGCCCCGTGTGTGTGTGTGTGTGTGGAGGTCCCGAGTTCAATTTTTGCTGGCAGAGTGCTAGCAAAACAAACTACTAGCAAAAGTGGATCCCCCCCAGCGCCTCCCAGGCCACCACAGGTGCCCCCAACACGAGTGACGTTGAGCTGGCTATGCACACCATGGCCATGCCCACCTGGGCATGCCCACCCAGCTCCGTGACATCAAATACAACCCTGATGTGGCCCTCAATGAAATTGAGTTTGACACCCCTGATCTATCCTATGTCTTTGGTGTTAATCTGGCTGTGTTTTGCTAATATTATGACTCTTCGTTCTACTTCCATCACCTATCAAACCATTACTGATCAATTCTCATTGATCACAAAAGGTTATTCACGGATAGTCATAAAATGTTCTGAAAGCATAATGTGATTATGTTTGAAAAGATAGATTTATAATGAAAATGGGGGGGGGGAAATAAAGAGTAATGAACAACAGCCTCCCCTTACTGTTCTTACTAAGAGTTTCTCAAAGGCACCACTGTGGTGTGGAAAGTTACAGTAATTCTTACTAGCAGCCTGTACTAATGAATTCAATCAAGAATCCACAAGATTCTTTGAGGAGTCTGTAGCTCATATGCCTTGTATGAAGGAGATCCTAGGTGGAATGCCTGGGATTTCCAGGTATAGCAGAAAAATCACACCTGATAACTGGCGATGAATCAATCTAAAACAATACACAGCTAGATGGTCTTATGATATAATAGAGAGTAAGGCTTATTTCTATGTTCCTGACAGCAGAATTTTGTTTCTAAAAGTGTTGATCTCATTAGCTTTGGAAAGATCATATGTCAAGCACAAGGAAGACAAATCTGGCTTGATGCCTGTTCCCCAAATATGCCAAAGTTTAGATGGCGATAGACATTATATTTACTCACAGGCACCAAACCTTCTTTAATCAGTGTTCCTATTTATTTAGTTTTGATTTGGTTTAGCTACTAACTGCTGCCACTTTGTCTGGCGGGAAAGTTTTACTTTCTTTTTCTAGTTATTCTGAGAGGGTTTTCTTTTTAAATTTTAAAAAGTCATAACAGGGAACAATTTGTCTTGCCTTTGAAAACTGGTGTAAATGAATAATATACAGCATTGTGCACAGAAATAGACATCCTATTTGGGTACTTTCATTAATGATGAAAGAATAGGATAATAAGAAAGCCCAACAGTATTCTGGTGCACTAACAGGAGTAAGCAAAGATTATTCCAGTCTAAATTATCTAATCATAAGGAGAAATATATGCATTTGTCTTAAATTTTCTGGCATATCGGGAATAAATGTTCTCTCTCTCCCTCCCTCTCTCTCTCTTTCTCTCTCTCTCTCTCTCCCTCTCTCCCTCCCTCCCTCTCTCTCCCTTCCCCCTCTCTCTATATAAACTTTACTATATAACTATATACATTTGAACTTTAATTGATTAATAATTCAGAGAAGATGATGATGATGATAGCAACTTCAGAGTTAAAAAGAAAATATGTTTGTTCAACTGCTACTTGTCCTTTTGGCTTATTTTTTTTTTTTTTAATAAATAGATAACAGCTGAGCTAAAAGCCCAACAGCAGAGAAAGCATCCAGTAGAGCTCTGTTCTTGGTCCTGGAGGAGAATTAATGTGCTCTCACAAATTAGTGGCTGGACATCTGCAAAGACAAGTGAGTAACTTGGACATTCTGAAAGAAATAACTTTTAGGCATAAAGACATCAGATTCGCTCTCCAGAAGTGTTGGGTTACAATTCCCAGGATGTTCAGCTGGTCATGTTGACTGGGGTTTATAATAATCAGATTATAGATTGGGAAAGCTAGAGAAGACTCTTGAATAGATAGCATAGAAGCAGAATTTGTCAGAAGGTTAGAGAAAAGCCAGGGATAGGGCTACCATCTTTTTTGTTTTAAAATGTTCCTTTAATTGTCACTTGATAATGCATGTCCTGGTGCTGGGAAAACCTGTGATGAAATTCTGCAGATGAAGCTGATATAATGGCTGAGAAAAAAGCTACTTTTATGGGCAATAGGCAGGCATCCTTAGCTAGAAAATCACAATCCATATGAAAATATATTTTTGGGGGTGGGTGGGTTAAAACTCTGTCAATTCCCGGATACTCCTATTTCATAAACCTGCTTGTGATTGGAATTGTGTTTGAATGTCATCTGCAAAGCTGATACAGTAATAACGGAAGCTGCAAGGATATTTTTTTAAAAATAAACTTTTTCTTTTTTTCTTTATGGCTGTGTAGATTTTTGTTTTATTTGCCTGAGGAATGTAAGAACTCTTGCAGTGTCACTTTACAAAGCCCGCATGCAAGGAAACCCAAACAGGGCTAGCAAATATGGGCTGTGAAAAGCAGGATAACCACTAAGGCGTCAAAGGATTTGATGATTTTTTTTTTTTTTGGCAGTGCTCAAACTGTATATTTGATTTGGGGGTGTGCGACATTTGGGGGATGGGTGCTTAATCGGGAGGTCACATTGTATTGTCTAACTTTTTCAGTATTGTGAGCTAAGGGAGGCTCAGCCAATCTCATAGTACACATGTCGTACTCTGACAATAAAGGTTTGAATTTGAATTTGTGAGCCTCTGAACAGTCTGGGTTTTTTTTTTTTTTTTTGCTTTGATAAAAATACCAATTAATAAAATCTTCACCACAATCTCTGAGATCTTCGAGACCGCCTGCAGCTACCGATGGCCTCCCATCGACCCGTGCGCTCCCACAGAGAGTGCCTCCTCGGGGTGCCATCAGCCAAACAATGTAGGCTGGTGACCCCCAGGGGGAGGGCCTTCTCTGTGGGGGCACCCACCCTCTGGAATCAACTGCCCCCAGAGATAAGGAGAATCCAAGACCTCGGTGCCTTCCGCCGTGCTCTTAAAACCTTCTTTTTTCAGCAAGCCGGGCTGGTTTAACTTTTTTCTTAATTTTTTAAATGTTTTAAATGGGTTTGTTATTGTTCTTAAATTACGGGGCCAAATTTATATATATATATTTAATACTATTTTAATGTTTGTAATTTATGTTTTTATTCGGCTGTACACCGCCCTGAGTCCTCAGGGAGAAGGGCGGTATATAAATTGGATATAAAATAAATAAAAATAAAATAAATAAAAATAAATAAAATCTGCTCTTGACTTCTCCAAGCAAACTGAACAGAGTTACAAGGCAGCTACTTTCCTTCCACTCTATTTTTAGCATTTGGTAATGTGCCTTCGAGTACGAAAGCTCTGTTGCAATCCTCTTGTTGTTTGCTATCGATAGACACATTCTTTGCAGTAAGAGTCTTACCTACTTTGAAAGTCGTGTAAGCCAACGATGAGGTTGGTGTTTTGTTTCTAAACAGAGCCACGGGCATCTTAGGACTTAGGAAAGCTTGCGGGAGCACTCCTGGCGTCTTGCTCATATGGGAAATACTAATGCTAATTACTGGAGCTGAAATAGTTAACGGAATAAAAATTGCTGGGAAGTTGTTGTTTGCTACAATATTGGACCCCTACAGAATGCTGGCCTTTATTTTTGTTTTTGTCAACACAGCTAAAAAAACAGTGGCAGGATGAGACAAAAACCGCTCCTTGTCCTTTCGTGGAAAAGGGCTTGCTTATTTTTCATTTGTTACCATCAAAATGGAGGGTCATGAGATTCGTATGGGAAAAAGGGAGATCTCTTTGGGAATATCTGAAACAGATCCTGCTGTTCACAGAAGGAACTGGCCAAGAGGCATCAGCATGCTGGGTCCCGTCCCCTCCCCTCTCCTTGAATTCCTCAAAATAACAGGATTGGTTGGCTGAATGTTGAAATAAACAAAACAAGCAAAATGTTGGGGTTCTGAAGTCTTTTGAATTATCAAATCTTTCTTCTGAAAGAGACAGATCAGTTTCTTATTTAAGTTTTAATAATTTTCATTCCTATCTTTCTTGTTTTGCAGGAAGGCAGTTTTTATTTCCATGATTTTTTTTTAAAAAAAATTTCAATAATAAGAATAATTCAACAGTAGAACCAATAATTCCACAGTAGAACCAAAGAGGGATGCGGTGACTCAGTGGCTAAGATGCTGACCTTGTTGATCGAAAGGTCGGCAGTTCAGCAGTTCGAATCCCTAGTGCTGCATAACGGGGTGAGCTCCTGTCACTTGTCCCAGCTTCTGCCAACCTAGCAGTTTGAAAGCACATAAAAAATGCAAGTAGAAAAATAGGGACCACCTTGGTGGGAAGGTAACAGTGTTCTGTGCGCCTTTGGCATTTAGTCATGCCGGCCACATGACCACGGAGACGTCTTCGGACAGCGCTGGCTCTTCAGCTTTGAAACGGAGATGAGCACTGCCCCCTAGAGTTGGGAACGACTAGCACATATGTGTGAGGGGAACCTTTACCTTTTACCTTTTAGAACCAATTATGCTAAGAATGATGGGTTCTTATTCAGGATATTGGGAGCGATATTATAAGTTCTTTTGGTGTGTTCTTCTTTTCTTCAATTCAGGGGCCTTGAGAAAGACAAGGAGTATGGTTATTTTCTGTCACTGAATGATGTGTCATGAATTATACCCCCATAAGTTGGTAGGTCCAAGATTTGAAAGTCGATAGGGACAGAGAAAAGGTTATGATTAATTTTAATTGAACTAAAATTAGGACCAACTAGTTGCATGAGCTATTATGTATTTACTACTAATAAATAGTAATACATTTATGAATATTGAATCATTTTCTCTTGGCATTAAAAATCCAAATTATGGAGGAGCTATGAAAATTACATTCAGGTCTTTGGGAAAGTGCATCTGCTCCTGGAAACCTATTTTCTCTACAAGATGAGAATCCCTCATATATGTTCATCAGTAGGATAGAGATGTGCGCCATTATAGAATGACGGCTTTCTTGGTTAAAGTTCTGCCAGCCAAGATGAGGATTGGACTATTAGCTTCTACATGCAACTGGATTTGTTTCACCTGTTTTATAGAAAGACTCTAGGACAGAGGTCTTCAAACTTGGCAGCTTTAAGACTTTAAGCATAGCTGGCTGGAGAATTCTGGGAGTTGAAGTCCACAAGTCTTAAAGCTGCCAAGTTTGAAGACCTCTGCTCTAGGATTTAATGTAACAGCTTCAACAAACCTTCCCCAATGAGATCCATTTCAGATATAGTTTCCAGAATTCTGAACCAGCATAGCCTTGCATTCACTATTTATCTAGGACAGTGTTTGGGAAGGTTGGCTTTGAGGGTTGCACTGGGCTAAATCAGAAATATCTCAACAGGTTATTGTCTATATTCATTATGAAAAAAGTGCTCTGAGTGTACAGAGTTTAGTGGGTATTCATGGAAGAATGGGCTTCCTTATTTCTACTAGGATACTCACTGTTACTTTCTCTTCATGGGAAGTCCAGTTCCTGAAAAGCTTCTTTGTTATTCGCTTTTAAGTATTTATCTACTGTTAACGATAGCTTGGCAGTTTTCCATCACTGGAAAAAGTGATATGCAGAACTTAAAAAGATATAGTGATTTCCATAACATTTCCCTATGATTCTTTATACAGGTTGATATATTTTTAGAAAACATCAGTACAAATTTAGTAGAAACAAAAGTCTTTTTTAGTTTGCCAGCTGAGATCAAAATGTGCTAGCTTTTGATAGCAAGCTTTATCCTTTTTTTTTTTGGTGTGTGATTCTTTATATTGAACTTTGACAGAGTAACACTCAGTTAGAATAGACTTCAACTAGAGGATTTTCCTTTGATGACTCTTTACAAAGAAAACTACCTTTTAAAGCTGAACACACAGTCATTCTAATAATTAAAATCCAAACTGATAATTATGTTAAGCTTCTGATAAATTCCTGAAGGACTCCAACTGGTTCCAAAGTTGAATGTGTACCTAAAAAGTGTGTGGTTTTGTTTTGTTTTTTTGCTAAGGGACTTGTGTCTGGCTTTTAGTTTACCAGTTCTTATTATTCAACAGCTCTGTGATCCTACTTATCTACACTGCTTAATGCTTTCACATTCCTTGCTTATTTTTCTAAAGAAGTTAAGATTCTTTTTAACTCTTTGCTAAATTAGGGACGTCTGAAGTTTGATGTTTTTGCCCATTCTTGCCGTTAGAGATGACTTAAACGAGAGGATTCATTTTCAGCATTGTTCCGTGGATTAAATAATCCTGCATCAGTCCATTTCTATAGGGTTCCTTTAATTGCCGGGTAAGTGCCTTTTCTTATGTATGAGCTGTTATTAACAGTTGATGAATGTATGCTAAGAATAGTGTAGCTAACCTAGGAAATAATGGGAATGGTGTGGAGTTTAAATGAAAAATGAATGGTTGTCATCTTAATGTGATTAAGGCTTTCCTAAAACTGACTCTTAGACTGGAAGCCAAGCCCGTGGTCTGTGTGAAGAAAGTCCAGACTTCAATATCTGTGTCTATAACTGTTAGGGGAGGACCTCAACCACCATTTTTAACAACTTTTGACCCCTTTAAGTCTCCTAAATTGAGCCTCTGCTGACTGATGCTTTCAATTGTTTTGACTGTGTTTTCAAAATTAGAAATTCACCTCACATTAAAGAAAACATGGAGTCGCAACATTATGTAGCAGACTGTCTACAGTATCTTTAGCTTGTTTTGCAAATGTGTGAAACAAGCCTTTTAAAACGTTCAAATCTTCTAGAATTTTCCTATCGTTTTCAGTAAGAGATTGTTGTGGGGAAAGGAGAGCATTACAATAAGTTTCACTTGCTGTAAAGAAGAAAGATAAACAAGTAAAATGTCATTTTTATTTATTTATTTATTAATTTATTTTTATATGCTGCCCTTCTCCGGAGACTCAGGGCGGCTTACAATGCGTTAAGCAATAGCCTTCATACTTTTGTATATTTTATACAAAGTCAGCTTATTGCCCCCACAAACCGGGTCCTCATTTTACCCACCTTAGAAAGGATGGAAGGCTGAGTCGACCTTGAGCCTGGTGAGAATTGAACTCGCAGTAATTGCAGGCAGCTGGATATTAAATGCTGCCTTAGTAGGAGGCATTAGCCTCCTACGCCACTCAGGCTCCTGAGTGGCTCCTCATAAATCTCTTGTGTTAACCTGGAATAGAAAAAGTTAACCCAAAGAGCAAGTAACTCAGAAAGCGATAAATACTATTTGTTAGAAAGAAGGTTAAGTGTATAAGAGAATAATTCCATCTGGTTCTTTATTTTCTTGTGAGACATATAAAAGGTAAAGGCAAAGGTTCCCCTTGCACATATGTGCTAGTTGTTCCCAACTTTAGGGGGCAGTGCTCATCTCCGTTTCAAAGCCAAAGAGCCAGCGCTGTCCAAAGACGTCTCCGTGGTCATGTGGCTAGCATGACTAAATGCCAAAGGCACATGGAACACTGTTACCTTCCCACCAAAGGTGGTCCCTATTTTTCTACTTGCATTTTTTACGTGCTTTCAAACTGCTAGGTTGGCAGAAGCTGGGACAAGTAAGGGGAGCTCACCCCATTACACAACACTAGGGATTCGAACCGCTGAACTGCTGACCTTTCAATTGACAAGCTCAGCATCTTAGCCACTGAGCCACCGTGTCCCTTGTGAGACATATACGTGTAGGCAATTTAAGGTAGCAAGATTCTGGGTTCTTGTACTTTTTCAGCATGCGGGGAAGGAAGATTCATATATCACCAGTCACAGATCTCTGTGTTATAATTTCTCTAAGAGGCACTAAAGTTGTATAGTTCTGAGACACAGGAGAAGACTTACGATGGAGAGAGATCCATTGTTGTTATCAACTATGTTTGTGGCCATGTGTTATTTCTCTTTTGAAGAGAATTGAAGTGACTCCGTTGTGAAATTTCTAAATCCAGATCTAGTTCAAAAGTATAATATTTGAAGTATCAGAATGATGAAAGTAGTCTCACAACATGAGCTTTCTCCTTTGTGTGTGTGTGTGTAAGACATCAGAACACACATTTTCAAGTGGTGGAACTTGCATTGTGAAGGTGCTGCTTTCATCTTCCTGCCTCTTTGCTCCTTTCTGTTGATGTCATTGTATTGGTGTATCTCCCGGTGCTATTTCTCTCCCCTACCACCAAATGTCACGAGCTCGCAGGAAAGAATAAATATGAGATGGGGGTAGAGCTTGAGAACAAGCGAGCTCTGACAGATGGGCACATTAATCAACTTAGTCATCAATCAAAACTCACTCCAGGTTTTCCACATATGGATCAAAAAGTAGTCCACAAACAGCTGCCAGGTGTTATGGGGGAATCACAGAGAGAAATGAGAGGATTGTTTCCTCCGCTCTGCTCTTTTAATTGGGTCATTTCCTTTTCCTGCCTCCATTCCCAGGCTGGGAAAGGAAGTACCGTAGATTTCATCTGTGGGATTGGAGAGTTAATAGCTTTGAAGAAGCCCAGTTCCCTATTTTTACCTGTTGTCTATGTATAAATAACCTGGCTAACAACTAATAGCTGCAGGAAGGTGGGTTGCATGGCAAGGGAACGCTAGCTATACCAGCAACCTCTTCTCCATGTCTTTAATCTATTTAAAGATGTCTAACAAAGAATAGGCATGGGCAAATGGGTGCTCTACTACTACACCACATAGCCCCTGGAACAAATTATCAGTTAGTAGGGGGATAAGTCCTCTTTCTAATGCATAACTCTAAGTTGAGGATTGGCTCGAAGACCTGGACTTTGTGGCAACAGCTGGTTTGAAAGATTCAGACTGTCCCACTACTCAAATTACGTTGGCCAGGGACACAATGCCCAAGGCACAGAGTGATCACAAGTAGGATCCCATCCCTTACGATCCCATCCCTGTAAGTCACCTGGCTCCTCTAGGAGAAGAGCAAGGAGAGCTGAGGGTGCCAACAGTTTAGAGCAGTGATGGCGAACCTTTTAGGGACCGAGTGCCCAAATTGCAACCCAAAACACATTTATTTATCACAAAGTGTCAACATGGCAATTTAACCTGAATAACAAGGTTTTGTGAGGAATTTCAATCCCTCTTTCACAACTTGACTTCTCCCTGGTGGCACTGGATTTCTTTAACAGCTGAGTTTCTTTAACTCAGGAATGATGGTAGTGTAGTGCAGTAGCCTCTGGAGGACCATCACATCCTTTTTCCTTCCTTCCTTCTTTTTCCTTCCTTCCTTCTTTTTCCTTCCTTCCTTCCTTCCTTCCTTCCTTCCTTCCTTCCTTCCTTCCTTCCTTCCTTCCTTCCCCCCTCCTCTGATTTCACCTTCCTTCCTTTAATCCTGTATATTATGGTTCATTATTGTTAATATTTATTAAAGAATGCTGTGTAGCTTAGAAGCTCTCAGCAAAAATAACAGCAGCTGTGGTTTGTGGCTGAGCTATCCCAGGCTGTTATTTACACACACACACACACACACACACACACACACACACACACACACACATTTTTATTTCACTTTCCCTGGGTCCTTGGGAAAGGAATGGCATCTTTTCCCCATCCCCGTCTTTAATAAACCCTTAACCACCTTGCAGCCTTTTAGCTACTATTGTCCCACCTTGCTTCCCCCTCCCCTTAAAACGAGGCTATTGAAGAAAGCCGGGAGGGGGGAATCTAAGGGGGAGGGAAGAAGAGACCCAGGCAGATCCCTCTCTGAATAGCCTCCCACCCAGATTTCCTCTCTGATCCCCCGACAAACAGACCCCACCTCCCTTTTTGGACTCTGGACTGCCGGGCCTTTATTTTCCCCATTTATCGTAATAGGCTTCAGCAGGAGGACGGGACCCCGCCTCCCACATTGTGAAAGGCGCAAGTGAAAAAGTTCACTCAATCAATTCCAACTTTGTGAGATCTTTTTCTTTCGCGAGAAGTTGGAATTGATTGAGTGAAAAATGATGGAGAACCGTGATTGGAGCTGAGCTGGGGTGACAGTGTGCATTCCCACAGAGAGGGCTCTGTGTGCCACGTCTGGCACGCGTGCCATAGGTTCGTCTTCACAGGTTTGGAGTCTTTGTGTTCCCATAAGTGGTCCAGCCTCCCTTGAATTCCATTGAACATTATCAATTGAGGTTGGAAATTTAATTGACTAAATGCTTGTGTATGGGCTTGAGCAATAAATATTTCTGAATTGCAACTTAATTTATAGTCCTGATCCTTGATAGCTCAAAGACTGATAATATCCTTTGCTGAATAAGAGGAACCCATTCGTATTCAGATTAAGGTTTAAATTTAAATTTAAGGTTTCCTCAGATTGGGATCAGATGAAGACATGATGCCATGCAAGGGGAAAACCCTGGTGTTTGCACTGTTCAAATTATTGGCTCTGTTCAAATTATTGCTTTCAAATCTATTCGTTTCACATAACATAGCTAAAGCTACAGTATCTATCTATGAACAAATATTTTGGATCAGATTTTGTCAATGGATCTACTGCTATTTGCATTTGTACTATTCTCATGCAGAACAGTATTAAGTGTAGCTACAAAGATTAACATACTTGAATTTTAATCCATTTTATAAAATAATTCAGCTTTAAAAGCTAAAGTGATTTGTTTTATTGAGACATTTCACTTTAGTAAGCAGCAGGGGTGAAATGCTCCCAGTTCAGACCGGATCGCCCGATCTGGTAGCGATGGTGGCGGGTGGTTCGGAGAACCGGTAGCAAAAATCCCTCCCCACCCCCATGCCCAGCTGAGCCGTGCAATCATTAGAGGCTTTTTATTTTATTTTTAAAAGCATTTTTTCTACAACCTCTTCGGCCGAAAAAATGCTTTTAAAAGTAAAAAAAAAAAAGCCTCTGCTGATCAGGCAAGTCAGCTGTGATCGTCAGAGGCGCCAAAAAAAAAGAACAGGTAGTAACAAATTTTACATTTCACCACTGGTAAGCAGTAATATCTGTCCCTAAAAGTAAGCAGTAATATCTGTCCCTAAAATAGTAGAGAGGAAACAGACAGGTTTCATATTTTTCAATGTCTGGTACATAGGCCAACATAGCTTTAAATGAGCAGAACTATCCTCTTCTTTTCTGCAAAACAGAATGTGCTTGAGACAGATATTGGGGAAATTTCTTGCCTTTTTGTGATTGGGAATATGGATGGAAAAGATCTATTATTCCATTACAATCCACCCATCCCTCTCAGGCTTCAAGTTCATTATTAACATTGAACTATACCCTCTACAAAGTTTAGTCCTTTCAACTAAAATTACTTCCTTTTTTGCCATAACATTTATTTTCATCTATTTTGTACCAATATTATTCATTTTCATCTCTAATTTTGACCAAATTCCATTTTCCCTTCTATTCTATATTAAACCCCTTCCCATTATCATCTAATTTTTATATCCCTCATCAAATTAATTAATTATGTGGTGTTATAGTTATTTAATTCTTATATTAATAATAAACCCACTTATTTTATAACATACATTTCCTTAACTAATACAATCCAACATTTTAATATAAATCAATTGATTATATAGATATCTTTTTCATTTATATATGAACCAGAAGAAAAAAAAACCTTAGTTGAATTTAAAAATATTCTATTATCCTCTAATCATATAGCTTTTCCCCTGTATTATTCCAAATCATCACTTAATCGTTTGTACACACACCACTGTAAACCATTAAAAACATTTCAATTATTATTCCAATTATTTTTCAATTCATTTTCACCATCATGATTTAACATTATTTCTTACTACAATTCATATTTCAATTCTAGTCATATACATCATATTCCTCTTTCATTTCTTTCTTTTTTCCCTTTTCATTTTTATTTTTACCTTTTTCTTTCCCCTTTTTTCCTTTTGTGCCTTAAAATCCTGATCTCTCCTGTTTTGCCCTATATTTCCTGTTGTTCCCCCCTCTTTTCTCTTTTTTTTTGTTTCACCACCGTTTATCCCACTATTTATCCCAGTATTATCATTTTGTATTTCAAAGTTCTGAACTCTTCTATTTTGCCCTATATTTCCTGTTATTTTCTACCCTTTCTCTCTCTTTTTTATCTTTTCACTGTAAATCCCAGTGTAATCATTTAAGTACTTTATATTCTTTCTGTTCCATCCTCCCTTCCTTATTTGTCTCTTTCCATCCTCTTTATTTTTTTCATTGTTAATCCCAATGTAATCTCTAAAAACCTCCTTTTTATTATTACTATCCACATGTTTAATTACTTCTTCATATTTAATCATATTGTCTTTATCTTCTTTATTTTCAGCCTCTATGTCTTGCTTCTCCATCTTCATTTCCTTGTCCGCTTGCGTATGCTCCATCTCAGCTTTTGTGTCCTCAGATTTTAATCCTCCGTGTAACATTGTAGTTATTTCTCTTATTTCCATTTTCCATGACAAGTACATCAATTTAATAATTTCTCTAATTTCCTGCGCCATTTTATTCTTTTTGAGTTAATATTATTCCAATTTTAAAAGTTCCGTTGTATTCCCCTTTTCCCCCCAAAGTCAAACCGCTTGCAGACAAAGAAATCCTTCCCAAAAGTTCTCACGGCTGTTATCTGTAAAGTTCACAATTTTCTAAAACAAAGACCAAGTTGCAATATTCCTTTTTACTCCTGAAGGTGTCTCTCTGAAATCCACAATTTCTGATTGTCTAACAAATATTGATTTTGTTTCAATCTACATTAACAATCTTACTTAGCTTCTCTTTTTCTTTTTAGCTTTAAAAATACCAAATCAGTTTTATAGTCCATTCCGAATTTAAACAGCTCTTCTCACTTCTTTTTCCCTTTTTCCCTTTTATTTATACAACACTTCTGTTATAGGGTTTATTGTCCATTCTCTTTTGTTTTTCTTGAAATTCAAAAAAGAAAGGGGAAAAAAAGAGGATCTATTTATTTTTTTCCGATCCTTTAACCAATCTTGGGGCAATTTCTCTAGTTATTTAAAATTTTCCAAATGATTTCCAAATAATTTTGTTCAAAAGTCAATTTTCCATCGGGTTTTTATCACTTTAAGATTATGTTTCAAAATCTTTTCTTCCCCCCATGCTCATTAGCCGCTGTTTTATCGCTAGGGGTCTTAAAGTTAATTTTTTTTCCTTATTGTTGTTTCAACCATGGGTTGGCTGTCACTCACCCGGCTTCAAAAAACTCTGTTCCATTCACCACTCCTGCTCAATGCTTAGTCCAGTTGCCCCAGCTTTGTGACAGCTGCAATGGCTGCCGTCCCCCACCGCTGAGTTATAGAGAGTTTCCTCTGACCTTCGAGGAACTTGCCTCTTCCTCTTAGTCTTCCAAGGTGCCTCTCCTTCTTCCCCATCCCTACAGGACGGTTCTGGTCTGAAGACCCCTTGGCAGTGGTTTGTCAGTCTGGGTTTTCGCGGAGCTGATCAGAGCCCGCTAATTCCCCAACTGTCTCGCTGCGACGCTTCCGGTCGAATCCTGGTTCCCCTTGCACATATGTGCTAGTTGTTCCTGACTTTAGGGGGCAGTGCTCATCTCCGTTTCAAAGCTGAAGAGCCAGTGTTGTCCAAAGACATCTCTGTGGTCATGTGGCCGGCATGACTAAATGCCAAAGGCACACGGAATGCTGTTACCTTCCCACCAAAGGTGGTCCCTATTTTTCTACTTGCATTTTTTATGTGCTTTCGAACTGCTAGGTTGGCAGAAGCTGGGACAAGTAACAGGAGCTCACCCCATTACACAGCCTAGGGATTCGAACCTCTGAGCTGCTGACCTTTCAATCGACAAGCTCACCGTCTTAGCCACTGAGTCACCACGTCCCCCTGTATAAACTCTAATGGATATAATATAGGTTATTATGCCCCTGCCATCACATTAATATCAGGATGCAACTATGAGTATAAGAATGCTTCAAAATTCTATTACAATTCTATCCTATTAACTTTTAAAATAAATGCTCTTCCCTTTTTCAATGCAGGTTGATCCAAAAATCAAGGAAGGATCTTTATGGTCTCTCAAGACATTCACCAGCATCAAAATCTTTGACATCGGCTTATTCTTCTACTCATCCAGAATCACATTAGCCATGGGAAAATCTAAGAAGAAAGACGAGGCTGTCTTTCTGAGGAAGAAGATCACACTTCTCAGGGCCTTTTCACTTCTCATTGGGAGCATGGTGGGCAGTGGCATATTCATCTCTCCCAAGGGGGTCCTGAAAAACTCCGGCAATGTGGGCCTCTCCTTAATCATTTGGTTTGCCTGTGGAATTCTCTCTATGTTTGGTGCGTGGTGAGTTTCTTTTGTCTTCAGCTTTCAGGGGATCAGAAGAACTGTTGGTCCAATGTCATTGACTCTTACTGAATTGGTAGCTGCTATTCTCATATCTAGCTACGGGTGGTGTGGTGGCCTAGAGATGGAGTTCTCGCCTCACAATCAGGAGGCTGTGAGTTCAATCCTAGGTAGAGGCTGATATTTTTCTCTCTGAGTACAATGAGAATATATCTGCTGGGGAAAAAAACCCTCTGCATTGGCGACAGGAAGGGCAGCCGTCCAGTAAACACTCAGCTCCATTCAGTTGTCCAGACTCCACTCCGCAAGGGATTATGGGGTCATTAAAAGAAGATGATTGTCATATCTAGCTACCTATGTTGGTGGTTCTGCGTGCTAGCAGAGAGCCTGTCAAAAGGTAATTTCCCCCAAAAGAGAGGCAGCAAATAATAATAATAATAATAATAATAATAATAATAATAATAATAATAATAATAATAATAATAATAATATTCACCAATGTGAAACTTTAGCAGCCAGTTCTTTACCCGGTGTTTGCCTTCATATACATCAAGTTCTTCCCGAGAACATAGGCTGTCATGATGTCCTCACATAGTATAAGTGTGGATCCAAGCAATTGACAGATGGAAATTCTGTCAATGTGCAGATTTTCTAAGTGTCATTCAAGATATTTTTAGTATGACACCCTGTGTTCCCATAACCACTGGGACTACCATAGCTTGTTTATGCCGTAAAGAGCCTTGGTAGTACAGTGGTCTAAAGCACCCTGTTATTAAGACCAGCTGCCTGCAATTGCTACAGGTTCGAATCTTGCCAGGCTCAAGGTTGACTCAGCCTTCCATCCTTTCTAAGGTAGGTAAATTGAGGACCCAGTTGCAGGGGCAATAAGCTGACTTTGTATAAATATACAAAAGGATGAAGGCTATTGCTTAGCACATTGTAAGCTGCCCTAAGTCTCCGGAGAAGGGCAACATATAAATCAAATTAAAAAAAATAAAAAATTAAAAAAAATTAAAAAAAATCTTCTAATTTCATTTGTCAGATCTTGTTATTTTGTGATCTTCTCCAATTCTTTGTCTTCTATGATACTATCTCTAATATTGCCATATCAGTTATCCACACTTTCTTCCTTTCATCTGGAGTTATATATGGTGTCTTATGAACCAAGACTTTTCCAGACTGTACTTGGAAATCTCACAATATTTTAATCTGCCCATTATGGTTTGTCACACAGCCAGATGTTTAGGCTGGATCTGGCATTCTTTATCCACCGATCAAGTTCATCCCAAGGAGCTGGGATAGGCATGTGTTATTGTTAAAGTTACTGTTGCAGGATGTGAGCTGTTCCAAGTAAAACTGCCTTTTGCAATTGACTGATGGTGATTTTGTCAATGCCTACAGTGTTCAAATGGTACTCCAAATGTTTTGGGATTGTTACTGATTTCATTGTACTGATTTCATTGCTTCTTTTTATTTTGAATATAAATGGCTATTTTCCATTCACCTATCTGATGTTTAGCCTTTCTGACACCATTCCTTCAATCCTAGTTTATCTCCATGTGTTTTTCCTGGTGCTCTATCCACATTTCTCTTTCCATCTTCTATAAATGCCAAAGTTAGTTTTCAGATTTTTGGTAGGCGTTTCATATACCTACGTGGGCTTCTTTTCCTGTCTTTTAAATGTGTTTCTCACTGAAGTTGTTTATATTTGTGCTTTTTTTAAAAAATCTCCAATTGTTTTGAGCTCCTTTTCTCAGTAACTGTCTTTTTTTTTAAAAGTCCCAAGTATGTATTCAAGTATATTCAGTTTTATTTTCCCTTAACATTAGGAATTCCAGCATTACATGGTCAAGAATTGTAGCATTATGTTACAGAGCTCCCCCTACTTCCACTTCCTTGATTAAACCTCTCCTATTGGTTAGTTAAGGGACACGGTGACTCAGTGGCTAAGACGCTGAGCTTGTCGACCAAAAGGTGGGCAGTTCAGTGGTTTGAATCCCTAGTGCTGTGTAACGGACTGAGCTCCTGTTACTTGTCCCAGCTTCTGCCAACCTAGCAGTTCAAAAGCACATAAAAAATGCAAGTAGAAAAATAGGGACCACCTTTGGTGGGGAGGTAACAGCGTTCCGTGTGCCTTTGGCATTTAGTCATGCTGGCCACATGACCATGGAGACATCTTCGGACACCGCTGGCTCTTCAGCTTTGAAACAAAGATGAGCACTACCACCTAGAGTCGCGAACGACTAGCACATAACACTGCATCGAGGAGTATTGAATTAAGATGGCTAGATGCCCAAGTTTTGCTGTTGAAAAAAACGGGGAGAAATCAGTAGGTTCAAGGAAATTCCAAGATTTGCAGAAATTAAAAAACAAGTTGGGGGAAGAACAAGTCACCATATCTCCCTCCCCCCGCTCTAATATGTCCAACATTATCAGGATGTTGTGTATGTGTAAAAATGTGTATGTGGGGGGATGGGGTAGGATAGTGAGAGGTGAGGATTCTTTGTACAGAAAGCCTGGCACCATTTTGAAAACAAACATGATGTACTCCAATTCAGTGGGGTTCTAGCATTTACCCAGCTTCTCTAAATGTCATATTCGTGTTTTATTTCTGATGAGTTTCCATGGCATGAACATAGGGCTAGGAGCTTAGCTGGGAATGAGTAGGCTTGAATGTAAGAATCAATTTTGCTCACACAAAACTAAATTGATTTCAAAAACCTCCAGCTCATTGTTTTGCCCAATGGTGTTTGATCTTGATTGACATTATCAAACAGAGAACTTCTGGCAGCATCCAATCTGGGTCGGTCACTGGGACCAGAGGTTTAGTCTTCCAAGCTTTTGGATTCATGTTGGAGCCCATCCTCAGGGAACCTCTCTCTTCCGGAATGTACATATGACACATTCTGGTAGGGAGAAGTTCCTTGAAGATCCCAAAAATCTGAAAGCTTGGAAGACTAAATCTTTGGTCCTGGTGATCGACCCAGATTGGATCCTGCAACATTATCCTGGGACACGTATATTTGCCTTCTTTTGTGAGATAACTTTTTAAATCACTTGATATTTTAAAATTTAAAGCACTATGTGGCTCTTCCAATGCTTCATGGAGAAAATCTATGAGGTCGCTGGGAACTGAAAATGATTTGATGGCACATAATCAATCGTTCATGATAACTTCATGATAATGAAATGTCTGCAAGCAAGCAACCAAGCTCAAAGAGCACCAAGATTCCTTCCCACTGCAAATAGAAAAATTTGGGCCCACCCTGCATGTGACATGGTTCTATGCAGTAGTGGTTTTCGCTTACCTTCGCTACCGGTTTGGAACTGTGAGCGTGTGCTTGCGCACGCCACTTCTGAGCATGTGTAGAACCTTCTGCGCATGCACAGAACATCCATGATGATGTCCGGGCAGGTGGGCGAAGCCTCCCGCCAATGCTATCGGTTTGCCTGAACCGGGGTGAGCCGGTAGAAACCCACCACTGGTTCTATGGAACTGGTACCATCGCTTCATTCATTTTAGCTCTCATTCCCACCTAATTTGCTATGGGGTGTACCCATCCCTTGTGGGGGAAGGAAAGCATAAGTACTACAGACTGGGAATGGTGATCCTTCTTCAGTAAAGGGGTGCATTTCCCCAGAGCTGCATGTGGGGTAAAGCTTAAGCCAGTAGAGTTCAAGTATACGGGAATGTCCTTTTTTTCTCTGAAACTCCTCTCTATACCTGGTAGGACCACAGAATGTATTTAACTATGAAATGATTGCTTTGAATGTATTCTGTCTCTGCCTTCATAGGAGTTTAGGTCAGAGTACATAATATACAGGGGACTCCTATAATTTAGGCTAGGAAAGCCCTATTTTTTTCTTTTCCTGGGACAGCACTTTAGAATGACCAAACCTTTCGGATATAAAGTCTTCATCAGGAGTTGTTAAAATTGTAATTAAATCATTCCAGGTGCGTTGAGTTATGCAGAACTGGGCACACGAATTACCAAGTCTGGAGGCCATTACATTTATATCTTGGAAACTTTAGGTCCTCTGCCTGGATTCCTGTTTCTATGGGCTGAATACTTTGCTATAAGGTAAACTTTTCCATCATAAAAGCGGGTCCCCAACCTTTCTGGCTCTGTGGGAGGGCAGAGGGGATGGTTTTGCATGTGCATGCACCACTTGCACAAATGCAGCTTTGCGCCTGCCCACTGCTTGCATGGCTTGGTTCCCAACAGGCTGTAGCCGGGTACCGGGCCACGGACCGGGGGTTGGGGACCCCTGCATTACAACACTCAGTAAACATGATAGTGAACAAGAAATGCTCTGAATCATTGATTATCGAGTATAACTAATGCACAAACACAAATGGAATAATCTGTAGACTTGGATACAGAAATAAAAGATGATCTAGGCAAATTGTCTAGATGAGGCAAGAATAACCTTTTATAATTAGCGAAAGGATAGAATGTCTTGCCTTTATTTTGTCCTGAATCAGCTTTTTAAAAAAGTTTTTTAATTAGTTTATGTTATAACCAGTGGTGGGTTTCAAATTTTTTTACTACTGGTTCTGTGGGTGTGGCTTGGTGGGCGTGGCATGGCTTGGTGGGTGTGGCTTGGTGGGAGTGAGTGGCATGGGAAAGATACTGTAAAATCTCCATTCCCTCCCGATCAACTGGGACTCAGGAGGCAGAGAATAGATGGGGGCAGGGCCAGTCAGAGGTGATATTTACCGGTTCTCCGAACTATTCAAAATTTCTGCTACCGGTTCTCCAGAACTGGTCAGAACCTGCTGAAACCCACCTTTGGTTATAACTAAGGTTATGTTATAACATACAAAAAAAATACAAAAACAAATAGTCAATTGTCCCAATTGGGAAAATACTGGGCAGGAGTATCCACAAAGGATAGCCACAAAAGTGAAGCGGTAGGTATGACCATGTGAGCAAAGGCTTGGGGCATCAAATGTGCAGTTGCTTGCACCATCTTGTCTTTTTTTACCGACCCACCCCATCCGTCAACATCTCTAATACTAGGTGCAGAATATTTGTACTATGTCCTAAACCAGGGGTGTCAAACTCGATTTCATTGAGGGCCACATCAGTGTTGTGTTTGACCTTGAGGGGCTGGGGGAAGTGTGGCTGGGGTGGGTGTGCCAAGTTCAATGTCACTTGTGTTGGGGGTGCCTGTGGTGGCCTAAGTGCTCTGCCATCAAAAACAGCCTCCAGAACTCTGTTTTAGGTTGCAACAGCCTCCTGCAACCCTCAGTTTTCTCTGGCAGAGGCATCATGGGCCAATCCTTTGCTGTTTCCAGGGCAATCCTGCAGGCCAGATCTAAGCACCCCTCAGATCTGGCCCCTGGGCCTTGAGTTTGACACAGTGGTGGGTTGCCCCGGTTTGGACTGGTTCTATAGAACCGGTAGTAAAACCGGAGGGAGGCTCCACCCACTGACCCTGATGTCATCAGAACGCTTCTGCACATGCACAGAAGAGTGCGCGGCCCTGTTGCGAACCGGTAGTAAAGGTGAGTAGAACCCACCCCTGGTTTGACACCCCTGCCCTAAACAATTATTAACATTAAAAATGATTAACTCAGATATGATTTCTGGACAGCCAATCAATACAAAAATAAATGTTTTATTTATGAGAGGATATTTGGTTTTGAAATTACTTGATAGATGGTATACAATTATATCTGATTGCTTCAAAAAAAAACAACAACGATTGAGAGTAAATAATTGAGGGAAGCTGAATTTTGCAGATTCATTCTCAGTTGTTGCTGCTGTTTCTTCCACTTTCTCTTTTTTATCACCTTCCTTCTCCTGTTTATCATCATCTCTGTCAGCTGCACTAGGACGTTGCACTATGTGCTGTAACATCTTTAAGTCTCCTCAAAGAATATAATTTTTCTTTAGACCAGCCAACAGCGCCGTTGTCGCCTTAGCATTTGGACGCTACATATTGGAACCATTTTTTGCACCTTGTTCGGCTCCACTCCTGGCTGTGAAGCTTGTCGCTCTCCTGGGTTACTGTAAGTCCCAATGGAAATCTTCGCCATTTTATTTCTCTAGCAGTAGTGAGTCATGCTGATTTTGTGTACTTAACTCATGCAGATCAAGTACTTTCCCTTTCTTGCCACTCTAGGCATTGTCCTTGTCTTAAATTCTTGGAGTGTCAGCTGGAGTGCCCGGCTTCAGACCATCTTATCTATCATCAAGTTGGCAGCTCTCTCTCTCATTATTGTCCCAGGCATGATGCTTTTAGCTCAAGGTATTTCACATTGTTGTTCTTGTTCTCTATTAATCAACACAATGATAAAAATACATGGAATACTTCAGAGGATTGAAGGTTTTGAACCAGTGGTGAAATCCAAATTTTTTTACTACTGGTTCTATGGGCGTGGCTTGGTGGGCATGGCAGGGGAAGGATACTGCAAAATCTCCATTCCCTCCCCACTCCTGGGGGAAGGATACTGCAAAATCTCCATTCCCTCCCCACTCCAGGGGGAAGGATATTACAAAATCCCCATTCCCAGCCCACTCTGGGTCCAGCTAGAGATGGTATTTGCCGGTTCTCCGAACTACTCAAAATTTCTGCTACCGGTTTTCCAGAACTATCAGAACCTGCTGGATTTCACCCCTGCTTTGAACACAACATATAAAATTGGACAGAAATGAAGAAGAAGGAAGAGGAGGAGGAGGAGGAGGGGAGGAAGAAGAAGAAGAAGAAGAAGAAGAAGAAGAAGAAGAAGAAGAAGAAGAAGAAGAAGAAGAAGAAGAAGAAGAAGAAGAAGAAGAAGAAGAAGAAGGAGGAGGAGGAGAGAGGAGGAGAGAGGAGGAGGAGGAGAAGAGAAGAAGAAGAAGAAGAAGAAGAAGAAGAAGAAAAGAAAAGAAGAAGAAGAAGAAGAAGAAGAAGAAGAAGAAGAAGAAGAAGAAGAAGAAGAAGAAGATGATGATGATTTTCAGGAACAGACTAGAAAGTTCTCCATAAGAAAGCCAATCATTATAGCTTATAATATGACTTACTCGACAAGTGGTGTTTAAAACATGGCTTATTGTGATGTTAACCCAATCTAGTTGTTGTTATAAATCATTCAATGTTTGGCAATGGCTTGTGAGATCTTGAGCAGAGGGAGTGTCTTCTTATCTCCTGCAACAAAATCCTTTTTAGACAAGATGGTTGTTTTGAATCTGGGCCTACCTGTCTTATGCAAATCATATGTTATGCCACCAAGTTACATACAAATATATACAATAAAACCTGACTTTGGCACTAATCTATCCATCATCAGGATGCCTATTTCTGCTATGATGCCTTTGCTTTGTAATTTTACTCTTTTCTTTAGGCTGTACAGGAAATTTCCAGGATGCCTTCAATACCCAAGCACTCGTTTTGGACAAACTACCTTTAGCCTTTTATGCAGGGATGTTCGCCTACTCTGGATGGTATGCATTCTTAATGTATATTTCTGAAACCTTCTGGTGATTTGTCACCGTTACTGAAACAGTCCTTTCTGTCTCTTGCTCCGCCCCTAATGCAGGTTTCAAACTAGTTTTGTACGAGAAGAACTGGTGAAGCCAGAACGGTGAGTTGGAAAAATGAAACTTCATTCTGACTTAGACCAGTCTTTTCCAATCTGGCCCTCTCCAGATGACTGAACTCCTCCGTTCATAGGAAATGCTGGAGTTGCGTCTGGAAGACACCAGGTTGGTGGAGAAGACTGGGCTAGAGTAACAGGCCTAACAAGATACATTTTTGTGGTATAGTACTTTCAGAAGAAAACAGTGGGGAGGCAGAAATGATGGAGTTCACTGCCTGAAGTAAACTAAAATGTAATATTTTAATTTTGCAGTCAAATATCATAGCTAATGCTTTTGCCCTCACTGTCTAGAAAACTGACAAGCCACATGAGTTCCCTATTGTGTAGATCAGGGGTGTCAAACTTGATTTCATTGAGGGCAGCATCAGGATTGTGCTTGACGCCAGGGTGTGTGTGGTGGGAGTGGCCGTGGTGGGCATGGCCAGCTCGACATCACTTGTGTTGGGGGTATCTGTGGTGGCCAAGTGCTAAGGCAGGACTTCCCTGAGAACCTCCCTCACTCTCATTATAATCTTCCTTCCTTCCTTCCTTCCTTCCTTCCTTCCTTCCTTCCTTCCTTCCTTCCTTCCTTCCTTCCTTCCTTCCTTCTTCCTTCCCTCCCTCCCTCCCTCCCTCCCTCCCTCCCTCCTCTTCTTTTTCCTTCCCTCCTCATTCTTTCTTCTTCCTTCCCCTCTTTCCTTATTTTTCCCTCCTTGCTCTCTTTGCATCTTTCCTTCTTTTTCTTTGTCTTTCCTCTTTCCTTTCTCCTTTCCTGTCCCTTCTTGGATGCTCAAATGCAAAAGGGGAAACATTTCTCCTTTTACTTTATTTTGCTTTTAATTTGTTTTGCTAGCCCTCTGCCAGTGAAAACGGAGCTTGGGGGGCTTGTGTGGTCCTCCTGAGCTCCATTTTCACTGGCAGAGGAACCAAAGGCCAGTCCTTTGCTGTTTTCTGGATGGCTCCAAGAGCCAGACCTAAGCATGCGGGCCTTGAGTTTGACACCCCTGTAGATAAAGAACAAAATGCCCATTTTTCCTTCCAGCTTTATAAAGACCACTGGACCAAGGGACCCCTGGCATATTTTTTTTTTTTACAAGATGAATGCTAAAACTTTAACAAAGTGGATTTAAGGATATCTCAGGGGGATGAAGAAGTTCTTCATGTGTCCTTCTGAGTCCACCCTAAGATTCTGGACTATTTATTTATTTATTTAAAACATTTATATAGCTATCTATCTTATAATCAACTCTGGGCAGCTTCCAATCAAAGGTTAAAACTCCATAAAAGCCATATTAAAACTCTAAAAACTAAACCCATTAAAAACAAAAACCTGTAGTCAAGTCAGATTTTGAAGTGCAGTTACCTCAACTTAGGGATGAAATCTACTTACCTTCCCAACCGGGTTGGAAGTGCACGCACGCACGGACCCTCTGCGCAAATGTAAACCTTTCTGTGCATGCGCAGAGGGTAAAAAACAAGTTACTTCCTGGTTAAAACCATGACGTCGGGGCAGATGGGCAGAGCCTCGTGCCTCCATTGCTACCGGTTCTCCGAACCACCGGCCGCCATCACTACTGGTTCTGCTGAACCGGTCTGAACCAGGAGCATTTCACCCCTGTCTCAACTTATCCCAGTGCTTGGTGGAAAAGCCAGGCCTTCAAAGCTTTATGGAAGGCTAGGAGAGAAGCCTGTTGAACTTAAGAGGGAAGACTGTTCTGTAAGGCAGGGGCTGCCATGGAAAAGGCAGCGTTCTTAGATCCTGTCAAATAGCAGTATTTAGGAGAAGGGACTAGAAGCATGCCCACCCTATCAGACTTGGTTGGGTGGGTAGATGTCCTTCGGGAAAGGCAGTCATATAGATAACGCAGTGCTGTGGCATAATAGACAAGTCATTGTTTCAAACATACATGCAATAGACTGTAGTTAAAATTGATTTCCTAAGAGTCCTTTGCAAATTATGTATGTCCGCTCAGAGATAAATGCTATGTCAGCACTCCAAACTACATTTGTTCCAGTGCTGATATAAGGAGGAGAAGAGGGGGGCAGCTGGCAAGAGGACGCTTGACTTTTCACCTACTTATTTTCCCTGATGATAATATCCCCTAGGAGATGAGATGGGAGGGGGGACATTCCTGGGAGCTGAAGTAGTAGATATGGGGAGAGTGATTTGGAAGATGGCCAATGAGACGCAGAGAATTGGGGAACAAAAAGGGAAGGTTTGGGGTCAGGAAGTCACTGTTGGCTACGATATAATCGGGGACAGATTGTCGTGCTTAATAAATGAAAGATTTCATCAAAGACTATTTGTTTGGAAATGCAATTTATTTTGAGACGACACTGAAACCTGACATGCTATTAAGTTGAAAGGGGAGGCTTCCTTCTGTGTGCATGCAATGCGCATGGAATTTCAGGGCCTGACTGAGTTCATGCATGAAAAATAATGAAAAGAAGAGAGTAATTAAAGATATATAAGACAGCTGCACGTTGCCAAGCACTCCACACCATGGGTATGATGCAAATGCCTGAATGAATTCTAGGAGCTAGAAAAGGATTCCGTACATGTAAGGCAAGACAAGAAGCAACCGATAGAAACTAATCAAGGAGAGAAGCAACCTGGAATTAAGGAGAAGCTTCCTAACAGTGAGGACAATTAACCAGTGGAACAGCTTGCCGTTAGTTGTGGGTGCTTCATCACTGGAGTTTTTTAAGAAGAGCCTGGTCAGGTATAGGGTCTCCTGCTTGAGGGGGTTGGACTAGAAGACCTCCAAAGTTCCTTCCAGCTCTATTCTGATTGATGTGCAATACATTAGAGCTATGATGGTGAACCTATGCCACGCGTGCCGGAAGTGGCACACAGAACTATCTTACCAGGCATGCCAGCCGCCGCCCACTGCTCTTCTGGGTTCCGGTGTGCGCATGCGCCCTGGCCAGCTGGTCTTCGAGCATGCAGGAGTGCTGGAAACTGGAACAGCAACTCTCTGACATGCATGTGTACGTCGGCCAGTCTTCACACAAGCACACTTGCCGGCCAGCTGGTTTTCATGCACGCAGGAGTGCTAGAAACCGGAAGAGCAGCTACCCGGCACGCATGTGCATACGGGCCACCTTGTTTTAATATGCACATGTGCATTAGAAACTGGAAGATCAGATAATCTTCCGGTGGTTTCCAGCGCACATGCTCTTCTGGTTTCTGGTGCATGTGCGCATGTGTGTGCTTGCATTTCGGCACTCAGTGCCGAAAAGGTTCGCTGCCACTATATTAGAACACTTCTTCTGGCTATTGGAACGGCTAGGGGTGGAACTGAATGAAGCAGCTTTGCCAAGGTACTTTGCCCTAACTTTTGCTCAAGCAAAGCTCTATAAAACTTTGCTGTGCTACAACTGTAGTATTTCTGTGAAGAGGAGAATAGATAAATCAGTGAGTGAACAATGCGAAATATAGATCTTTACTCTCAAAACTTGTGAAAAGGTACAATCTCCTTCGAGTCATGCTTGTTTTCTGGACAAGTCCATATACCTGATCTCTGTGTAATTGTCATTAATTTTAATTCTCATCCAGATATTAACTTTGGTTCCCTCTAGAGGCTTTATGTTATATTTAAAACACTGATTTCTGCAACCTCTTTAGCCAATGCATGGACATGAAGAGAAATTGTTCCGACAAATGTTTCTCCATTATAAAATTGTGTATCCTTGAAAGGCAGTTAATAGCAGCGAATGACAGCAGTGATATACATTCAAAAAAGGAAAATTTAATGAATTTTCATTAGTAACAATTTATATATTAATAATTAATAATGATGATAAATAATAATAATAAATGTAATTTCATTTCATTTCTGAAAGGGTATAGGGCTGTGATGGCGAATCTATGGCATGCGTGCCACAGATGCCACGCACAGCCCTCTCTGTGGGCACGTGTGCCATCGCTAGCTGCTCTTCTGGTTTCCATGCGCACAGATGCGCCGCAGTGGTGAAATGTAAATTTTCTTACTACCGGTTCTGTGGGCATGGCTTGGTGGTGGTGGTGGTAATATGACTGAGTGGGTGTGGCCAACTTTTTTTTTTTTACTTTTAAAACCATTTTTCTACAACCTCATTGGCTGAAGATGTTGTAAAAAAAATGCTTTTTAAGCCTCTGACGATCCCAGCTGACTTGCCTGATCAGCAGAGGCTTTTTTCCCTTTTAAAAACATTTTCTCTAACCTCTTCAGCCGAAGAGGTTGTAAAAAAATGCTTTTAAAATTAAAAAAAAAGCCTCTGATGATTGCGTGCCTCAGCTGGGCAATGGGGGGGGGGCAGGGATTTTTGCTACTGGTTCTCCGAACCACCTGCCTCCATCACTACTGGATTGGGCGATCCAGTCCGAACCGGGAGCATTTCACCCCTGGTGCGCCAGCCAGCTGGTCTTTGCAGGCGCCGGAGTGCCTAAAATGGCTGGCAAATGGCCCAGAAAATAGCCCCAAAAACAGCCTGAAAAACTGGTATGTGTGCACTGGCCAGCTGGTCTTCAGGTTTTTGACACTCTGGCGCGTGTGCATGCACACACATGCACACACGTTCTGGTTTGGGCATCATCACTGATATAGGGTCTCATCCTTGAGCAGTGGATTGGATTAGAAGACCTCCAAGATCCCTTCCGGCTCTATTATGATTGATTAATTAATTGATTATTTTAAAAGCTATCCTATTCATGTTCACCTGCTATTTAAATTTAGCTAGAATTACGTTGTACAGCATGATTGTTGAAAATTATCCTAGGATACCAAGTGGAGGACAATTTGGCCTCAAATTATCAGTCATATGACCAAGAAGCCCAGAATATATATAGCTGACACATTTCCAAAAGAACAATGACAAGGGGGAAAAAATCATCCTGTCCTGTATTGGATATTGAAGACTTGTCTGTTCAAGCAAATAGGCTGACTCTGATTCTGGGTTTTATTATTTATTATTTATTAGTTAATTTGGTTTAAAATGGGATTTTATTGTACATGTTTTTAACTTGTGTTCGCCGCCCTGAGTCCTTCTGGAGAAGGGCGGCATATAAATACATGAAATAAATAAATAAATATAAATGTTACCTACTTCTTCATTCCAGCCAATTGATCTTCTACTTGTTATCCTGATTCTACCTCCCTTTGAGACTGTTACCTGGAGCTTCCATTGTTTAAATGCCTCTTGAGCTAAGTTCTGTTCTGAAGTTCTGTTTGACTTCATTCTTTGCTCCCAGGAGTAGAAGATAGCTTACTTGGCTTCAGTTCCCACTCATAGCTGAAGACGCTTCTTGGATGAGAAGTGAAATGTCTTCAAAGAAAAACCAGAAAGTCCAGTTGCCTCTTGAAAAAGCACCTTTGGGATTGCCACTCTATGATTTTCATCTGCTAACTGCCCTCTCATGGAGGAATCAGTGCCTGGCATAAGATGACTAAACAATTTTGGTCATGCTTTCTCACCATTTGAAAATTGCACTTCCAACCTCTCTGGAGGGCATAAGGTCCAGGACAGCTGAATTAAATCTTAATTGGGATGTGGGCTACGGAAGTACTCATAGATGTCTCTATTTCCTTTTCCTTTTTGTAGAAATATCCCTCTGGCTGTGATTGTGTCTGTGATCACAGTGATCGTGGGGTATATGCTCACCAATGTTTCCTATTACACAGTACTGACAGCAACAGATGTACTTGTCTCCCAGGCAGTGGCTGTGGTGAGTTGGAAGTCAAGGCTGTTTTTACAATGAGATTAAACGAACACATACAAACACACACGAGCCCCTCACTGCACCCCTTTCAACACAGACATTCCAGAGGGTTCAATTTGCAATTGATGAAAGAGAGGTTTGGCAATTAAGTGGCCATTAAGCACAGTTTCACCGAATAAGGCTCCCAAGAGTCTGTTTTGTCTCTGTAAAGCCTTGGAATAGCAAATAGCATGAATATTCACACAGGGGTGGAGGCTCAGGTGGAGACAGCACTGTTAGCTCTTCTTTAAAAAGATCTCAAGACGTTTTTAATTTTCCGTTATAAATTATTATTATTATTTTTGTAGAACTGAAAGTTCTGAAATGGGCTTTGGCATGCAGCCTGAGGAATTCTGCAAGATGAAGTCCGCAATCTTAAAGTTGCCAGATTTGAACAACTACTGAGAGATAGAGATAAAAATAGAGAGATATAGAGATAGATCAATGCATGCACACCTATGTACAAACCAGTGGTGAAATTCAATTTTTTTTACTACCGGTTCTGTGGCCGTGGCTTGGGGGCATGGCGTGGCTTGGTGGGCATGGCAGGGGAAGGATACTGCAAAATTCCCATTCCCTCCCCACTCCTGGGGGAAGGATACTGCAAAATCTCCATTCCCATCCCGCTCCTGGGGGAAGGATACTGCAAAATCTCCATTCCCACCCCAATCCTGGGGGAAGGATACTGCAAAATCCCCATTCCCTCCCCACTCTGGAGCCAGCCACAGGTGGTATTTGCCGGTTCTCTGAACTACTCAAAATTTCCGCTACCAGTTCTCCAGAACCTGTCAGAACCTGCTGAATTTCACCCCTGGTACAAACACATAATATTTCAAGATTACAGTATTTCCAAAGCTTTCTTGAAGACTGATGAAGCAAGCAGTAATAATATTAGAGACATAAGGAACAAGCAGGTGTAAAACTAGAAATGAAATACTGTTGAGCTGATGCCCTAACATTTCTGAAGGCCTCCTGGTGGTTTTTGTTCGCAGCTGAGTTGATTCATGCAGTGTTTCACATATGTGAATTACAACCATGCCTTTCTTCTCCCATCAGAGTTTTGCACGGAAAGCTTTCCAGAGCCTTATCTCTGTGATTCCAATCTTGGTTTCCCTGTCTTGTTTTGGAACCATGAATGGGGGAATTTTTACATTTTCAAGGTTGGTAGCTGGCTAACCTCTAATGTTTAACCTTTATATCTCATGATACTGTTGGAAGAAATATCCATCTGGGTTCAGTTCCAAGTGGGAGAAAGACACTGGAAACATGGAAGCTGTTTGGAAAGATGGTTTAATGGTGGACAGGGCCACATGGTTTGAGTTCCTGGGCAATTGAGCACATGGGTGTGTGTGTGTGAGAGAGAGAGACATTTATACCCTCTCTTGGGCTTTGAACTTGCTTCCTGTTCCTGTGAAAGAAATGTATTCTGATTGGTTGTCAGACTCCCATGGGGTCATGCAGGGGTAACTTTGTAGGTTGTCTTGAGTCCTAGGCTTGGTTGAATGTTGCTGGGGGATGTAATGAAGGGGCTTTTGGACAATTCCTATTATGGCTTAATGGCTTTGTCCTGGTTTGGCTCTTGAGTGAAGGCTAATCCTATCCCCCTGGAGCTGAAAGTCTTTTGTCTTGTAGATAAGCTGGCACCAAAATATCTGCTGGGACTGAGTTTCTGTGTCACTTAAGATTTCTATTTTTCTTTTAGGGCAAACATTCTGCCTTTTTAATGTTTCCTAGAATATTTCATTCTTCTAGGAGAGGGGTGGGTGTTAACTTTCTACAATACCATGATACATGTCACAGTGATGTTATTATGTTTTGTGGCAGACACGGATTAGGACCCGAAAGTCATAGAGGCAGGATAGGAACTGGTAATCAGGATATCACATTTGATACTGATACAGTTTCTCCCAACTGAAGGATGATGCCAAATTCAGTTCAGACTCTAAGCATCTGAAACTGAGTAACAAAATACAACAAAGACAGTTGTTTGTTTCAGAGGCACATTGGAGGGAAATTATCTAGAACACAGAAATGATGGATTATAATGGATTTTATATCCCTACGTTTCCCTTTTGGGTCCTTACTGTTAGCTGTTTCCTCTCCCTAATTAATTTCCAGGTCCTCATTTTCACTACACAGATGTGAATGCATGTGGAAGTCAGTTGTGGAGAAAAAAGAGAAGTGGGAATTTCAGGGGGGAAAGACGAAAGGAGGAGGAATGAAGTCATTGTCTCTTTCAGATGATCCATTCTAATGTCTTGGAGCAAAGGAGGAGAAAATTGTGTTTTTCTCACAGATATTCCTTTTTTAGGTGTCGAACATTATGCTGAGCCTTGCCTTGCTTAACATAGACTGTTAAATAAATCACTGTTGGTCAAGTTCATACAAACTTAGATTTGCAAACAGCAATGGCTGGGCTGACGCAGCTGATAAGCCAAAATTAACCAACTTTTCAGAAGGAGGGGCAGATTATTCCTGCTGTTTTGATTGTGCATATAATACCCTGAATGATGGCCTTTTTGGTCTCCTCTGAAATTACTGAATGTCTTGGAAAATAGTAACCATTTAGATAAAAGAGGAATCGGTCATTCTATAAATAGTTAATTAAATCAATACCAATAAAATAAAACACATTTTATTTTAGTATCCTATGACAATCACTAAGTGTCATATCTTATGATTTCTGATGACTGTATTTTTATGATGACTATTATCATAATTTATCACTTATAGCTTTTATGTACAATGAGAACTTATGCACCGAAGACAAATTCCTTGTGTGTCCAATCACACTTGGTCAATAAAGAATTCTATTCTATTCTATTCTATTCTATTCTATTCTATTCTATTCTATTCTATTCTATTCTATTCTATTCTATTCTATTCCATTCCATTCCATTCCATTCCATTCCATTCCATTCCATTCCACTCCACTCCACTCCACTCCACTCCATTATTTTGAAACAAGAGAAATTAAAAGTTTGAGGTACTCTGCTGACTGTGGTTGCATTTAGTTTTTAAAAATATTATTGCCTGATTTCATTCAGAGCTATCATTTGAAGAATAGCATAAAATTACCTCTATGAAATGTGTTTCCAATCTATCAGGCTTCTGCTAGTGAAGTTTCCTACATTCTTGAGCTCTTTTACAGCCATTTTTCTACTTCTAGGACATTGTTTGTGGCTTCCAGGGAGGGGCAGTGGCCTACCCTCTTCTCTATGATCCACATCCAACGCCATACCCCACTGCCAGCCGTCTTGCTAATGGTATGCTTCTTTGTCTATAGTGTCAGATTCATTTCTTACTTCAAAGGCTCTGATGTGGAAATCCTGTGACAAGCATCTTTAGCTGACAACAATGCAAACAGCTTGTATTATTGATAACCTGATCATAGTAATACCAATAATTGTGAAAGTGTGTTGTTTTGCTTTTAAAATCATCATGATTGCCTATATTGATTATTGCTTATGATTTTGTGCCCTCAAGTCAGTGTTGACTCTTAGCAACTACATACTGTAGATAGATCTTCTCAGTGGTGGGATTCAGCCAGTTCGCACCACTTTGGGAGAACCGGTTGTTAACTTTCTGAGCAGTTTGGCAAACTGGTTTTTGGAAGAAATCATTAGGGCAGAGAACCAGTTGTTAAATTACTTGAATCCCACCACTGGATCTTCTCCAAGGTGATCTGTCCACCACTGGGCCATCAGTGCTTTCTAAAGTTGAAATCAATTAATCAATCCATCACTGCTGTAGTTGAGTCAGTCATCCTCTTCTCTTTTCTTCTACCTTTCCCAATACTATTATTATTAAAGTCTCTTAAACAACAACAACAACAACAACAAAAAGTTAAATCGCCCAGATGTGTGGTGAATTGTGGCATGTCTGCATATGTATCTTCATGCATGTATATGTGGTTGACAAAAGCGTTTTCAATTACTATGGTCTTCTACTTGTATCTGATAGCACTTAGATATGTTGGACTACAACTCCCATTCACCAGTCAGATGTGTGTTCTTGTGGGGATTTTATGACTTGTAATTCAACACATCCAGATGGCATCTGATTTTGCAAGATTTATCTATGTGTAGATTTATCTCTGGGTGAATTTTCTACAATGCTTTTTTCCCATGAAATGCCAGGTGCTATTCCTAAATGAAACAATCCATCTGCAAGATTTTACCTTCTAAGACTGATGGAACCAATTAATATGCTGGGGTATTGATCCTATGTTAAAATTCAAATCAGCTAAAACTCATTAACTGTTTGGCAGCTGACACTGGCAATTGATTTCTATTAATGTTTTATAAAATATTTCAATGGATTTGTTCTTATTTAGTTTAAAATATTGTGCTTTGAAATTTCTTTCTGGTTTGGATTTGACCTGTGAGCTATTGTCATTTCACACGCATATCTGAAATGTAATCTCTTTTCACAAAGCAGCAACAATCTTGCATTCTTGAAACTGTTGGCAATACAAGTGCAAACCCTATAAATGATTTTGAAAAACAGCAAAAACACACTTTTTATGCTTTGTCCAACGCAAATGAGCCGAAGTTAGCTTTGGATTTCTACCTTCTTCCTATGAAAACTCTGATGTTTTAGTTTATTATTATTTTTTTCATTTTATTTCTTCAAGTTCCCTTTGGTGACAGCCATGATTTGTGTAGGAGATCTTTTCCACTTGTTGAACTTCTTCAGCTTTTCCCGGTGGCTCTTCATAGGATTAGCCACCCTTGGGCTAATAGTTCATCGCTGCCGTCATCCTGATATATTAAGCCCGTTCAAGGTAAGGTTTGATGGTTTGAAGTCTTTTAGGAACATAATGCTGTACTTTTTTTCATTAGCTCTGGAGAGGGGAATCAGGAGTTCTCTGATCTAATTCCTCTCAAATATAAATAGTAAAATGGCATTGTTATTATTAGCCGCGGTGGCACAGTGGTTAGAGTGCAGTACTGCAGGCTACTTCTGCTAACTGCCGGCTGCCTGCAATTTGGCAGTTCAAATTTCACCAGACTCAAGGTTGACTCAGCCTTCCATCCTTCCCAGATGGCTAAAATGAGGACCCAGATTGTTGAGAGCAATATGCTGACTTTGTAAATGGAGATGGGAGATGGGTTTTAAATGACAGAAGAATAGAACAAGTTCAGTCATTTACCTACTTAGGGCTAGTATTTCAGACAAATGGCAAATGGAATAAGCAGGTAAAAGCCGGAGCTCGGAAGGCCATGGCTCGGATGGCTCAGTTAAACAAACTTATTTTAGAGAAAATTCCATCTTCATCAATCCCAGTGCTAAAGGTCTTCCAGGCGAAAATCGAACCAGTACTTACCTATGGGGCAGAAATATGGGGGTCAGTTAAGCTGCCTGGGCTGGAAATGCCTCAAAATAAGTTCCTGAGGAGAATTTTGGCAGTGTCCCTCGGAACCCCAGCATGTGTAGTAAGGGCAGAAACAGGAGTCCATGCGACTGGCGCTAGGGCCTTGTTGAAGACTGTTTATTATTGGTTGAGAATAATCGAGATGGAGGAAGGGAGGTTACCAAAATTAGCGCTAATGGAGCAGATTATCTCAAGTAATAAAAATAACTGGTTATCAAGAGTTCTGAAGCAGGTATCTAGCTCTGGTATCCCTTTAAATTGGCAGCAGTATGACTATAGGCAGATCCGAAATTGGATTGCACAGAGATTTAAGGACATAATCAAATATTGCACAGGTGACAGCAGTAAAAGTTTGCCCCTGGTTATCAGCCAATAAACAAATTTTCAAAATAGAAAAATATTTAGCTGTGCCTTTGTTTCCCGTCCTGAGAAGATTCTTTACAAAATTGAGGTTGGACCAACTTGGAACAAATATGCTCTGGGGTAGATATAAGGGTATTCCTGTAAGGGAAAAGGTCTGTCTATGTGGGACAGGGGAAGTCGAAACAATGTCCCACGTAATTTTTGATTGCCCCCTATATTCAGACCTGAGGGAACATCAACTGGGAAGGATCTTTTATACCAGCACCCCTAAGTCTAAAGAGCACTTTTTGCGATATTGTTTGTTAGGTTCCAACTTGCAATTGGTAAAATGGATTGCTAAATTTGTGGTAAAGTTGATGGGAAGGAGGACAAAGTTGGTGCAGCAAAATGCGGTAGATTGTAAGAATGATCACTTGATCTAACAATGTAATTTTAATAGCAGTTAACACTGATTGGGTAGATGCAGGGGCGACATTATAATATAATTTTAATTATATTTAAATGGTACTTTAAATTATTGTATTTTATCCCGATTTTATTTTAGATCGTATTTTATTCTAATTGTATTTTAATTGCGAGTTATTCCAATCTTACTTAATTTGTTTTACCAAACCTTTGTAATGATTTGTCTTTGTAATACTGCACTTGATATGGCCCAAAGGGCTAATCAATAAAATAAAAATTGAATTGACTTTGTAAACCATTTAGAGAGGGCTGTAAAGCACTGTAAAGTGGTATATAAGTCTAAGTGCTATTGCTATTGCTATTATATATGCCACCCAACTCTCAGCTGCTTCAGGCAATTTATAAATTATTTGAAAAAACAGGTTAATAAAAATAACAAGGAAGAAATAAGGATAGAGATGGCAGAATTACAAACTGGGTATAAACAAAACAAGAATTATTATCAACCAATTGGCAAGTTAATTTGAAGCCAATATAGAAATGGTGCTGGACAAGAGCTGGAGGTACCCTGGTTCAAACTTCTGCTTAGCCATGAAACTGGCAAGGAGATCAATAACAATTTACCTATATTAATGGAATGTAAGTCCTGGGTCTTTGAAAGAAGGGTGGCACACAAATGTTATTTATGAGCACTAACCCAACTAGAGTGTTTACTTGCCTCCAAGAAGTCCTGAAGTTACTTTGTTCCACCTTCCTTTTCAGAATTCAGAAATTCAAAGTTTTCCCCATACCAAAGTCTTTGCAAGACTCTCAAAAGCACACTGAAAATGGTGAAATGTTCTTCTTCCTCTTAAGAATATTTCAAAAAACTAATAAGAAAACGGAGTGACACTTCTGCAACTTGCCTGTTACTTGTACAGATCTAGGAAAAAGAGATATGATTATGACAGATTTAAAATCGCTGCTCCCTTATAACTGTGGTTGAGAAAACAATCCTAATCCTCTCAAAGGGCCACAAAAACCCTGTCTTGCTTCATGGTTGTGATGGTCTTCTCCATGAAGACCATGGGGTCTTGTGTGAAGGTGATGGTCTTCCCCATGAACCAGACAAATACCTTTAGGAGGAGGGTGGATGGGATGCATCTCATTATGTAGACTTGACGAGCCGTGGTGGCGCAGTGGTTAGAAGGCAGTACTGCAGGCTACTTCTGCTGACTGTCAGTTGCCGGCAGTTCGAGTCTCACCAGCTCAAGGTTGACTCAGCCTTCCATCCTTCCAAAGTCTTGGTAAAATGAGGCCTCAGATTGTTGTGGGCAATAGGCTGACACCGAGAGCTGTAAAGCACTAGGAAGTGGTATATAAGTTTAAGTGCTATTGCTATTGCCATATGCTTCAGTCCAGTGGTGAAATGTAAAATTTGTCACTACCGGTTCTGTGGGCGTGGCTTGGGGGGGAAATATGACTGAGTGGGCGTGGCCAACTTTTTTTTTTTACTTTTAAAACTATTTTTTCTACAACCTCTTCAGCTGAAGAGGTTGTAAAAAAAATGCTTTTAAAGCCTCTGACGATCCCAGCTGACTTGCCTAATCGGCAGAAGCTTTCTTTTTTTTTTAAAGCCTCTGACGATCCCAACTGACTTGCCTGATCAGCAGAAGCTTTTTTTCCCTTTAAAAACATTTTTTCTATAACCTCTTCGACTGAAGAGGTTGTAGAAAAAATGCTTTTCAAAGCCTCTGATGATCCCAGCTGAGCCGCACAATCATCAGAGGCTTTTTTTTTTTACTTTTGAAAGCATTTTTTCGGCCAAAGAGGTTGTAGAAAAAATGCTTTTAAAAATAAAAAAAAAAAGCCTCTGATGATTGCGCGGCTCAGCTGGGCAATGGGGGGGGGGGGCAGGGATTTTTGCTACCGGTTCTCCGAACCACCCGCCTCCATCGCTACTGGATCGGGCAATCCAGTCCAAACCCGGAAGCATTTCACCCCTGCTTCAGTCACATCCATACAGCTTTCTTGGCAGAAGGGAGTGACCATTGCCTTTTTTAATGATTTGGTTTTGGATTTTATAGCTTCTGATTAAAAATGTATTAAAAAGCACATGTTTTTGTGAAGTGGCATAAGCATTGATAAACTGTAGTTCACAAAATCTTATGCCTTTTAAATATAATTTGTCTGTTGGATAAAGTGCTACCCAATCTCTGATTTCTCCAAGGCAATTTGACTAAGAATCCTACTGTCCTCATTCTTACAGTAGATTATCCTTAGCTTCTTCCCTCCCCTTTGAACTTTACCACCAGAGAGATCCTACTAGAAATTTACACTCTCACTCAGGGGTGGTATTCACTTACATTCCCTACCGGTTCGCAAATGTGAGCATCCCTGTCCACGCATGCGCCCGGCCTTCCGTGCATATGCTTTGCTGGTGCGCATGCCTTCCGTGCATGCACCCGGCCTCAAAAATGTGCGTAAATGGGATGGCATAGAGCTGGGGTAGATGGACAGGTGGGCGGGCCCATCCTCGGTTTCCGCTACCGGTTCGGGTGAACCAGTCCGAACCGGCTGAATACCACCTCTGCTCTCACAGGAATCACACTCAGGTTCACAGAAGCTATTGAGCTCTGCCACTGTGTCAAGACAATAATACCCTAGAACAGAGGTCTTCAAACTTGGCAGCTTTAAGACTTGTGGACTTCAACTCCCAGAATTGTCCAGCCAGCTAAGCTTCTGTCAGGATCTGTCAACCCTCAGAGATACTCCAGACAAAAAAATACCAAGGGTAATAACAGCACCTTTATTGCAATAGAATCGTGCAAGTCTGAAAATACATATATCTCCCTCTCACCTTTACAGTTCAAGAAAATTATGGAGGTTCAGTTGCCTTTTATTTGACCATTGCCTAGTGCAGGGATGTCAAACTGGCGGGCCATGGTTCAGATGCGTCATGCATAGACCACGCCCACTCCAGCTCCACGAAGGGGAAAAATATCACGATATGTCATGTGACGGCAACATGACACCGGGCGTTTGACACCCGTGGCTTAGTCTGTTGCTGCTGCTGTTTCTCAAGGACATTCCCACAGATCATTACAAGCTCCATCTATGATGGAGACTTTAATTACAATATGACAAAGACCACCTATGAAACATTTTTACCTGATAACGTACCTTTCTCTCTCCCTCCAGGTTCCTCTTTTCATTCCCATTTCCTTTACTGTCATCTGCCTTTTCACAGTGGGAATGTCTTTCTACTCAGACCCGGTTAATATCAGCATTGGATGTGCCATCGTTTTAAGTGGTCTTCCAGTTTACTATTTGCTCATCAAACAATCAATGCCAAATTGTTGCCGTAAAACTTTCTGTGAGTGGATCATTTTGGATTATGACATCCTTAAAATCATAGCCTATCATACTATAAACTGAGGCAGGAGCAACATCCTCTGTGACCTCAGCTTCATCTTCTGATATCTCTAGGAAGCTTGGCCAAATGGGTCAGGAATCAAGATGCTGGAGAAAGGGGCATCATCTTCTACTAGGAGGTTTTTGCATGCATTTGCCTCACCTGTAGTGCCCTGTATTTGATCCCTAGGATATATAATATAGGGATTATTTATACAGCTCAAGCCAATAAGCAAGCATTAAATAGTCCATCTTGCATGATTAACTTTGGATAGAGCTTTTTAGGCTAATCTGTCTAAACAATAATACACATTTTTACATCATAATTGTATTGTAGTTATAAAACAATTATATTAATTATATTATTTAAAGACCAGCCCAGTCCAAGAACTAACTTCAATTGTGGTAATTCAGCTGCGATTCCCAGCTAACATGGCTACTATATTTCTGAGCATTTTGGAACTTGAAGTCTTGAGATCTGGAGTTGTCAAGGTTGGGACACAAAGAATAGCCAGACCAACGCAAATAATATAATTACAGGTAGTTCTTGGACAGATCTGGTTCCTAAATTATGTTATTGGACTTCTTATTGTTCAAATGGAATTGCCTCCAAACATTCTGTCCACAATTTCACTTTTATTTATTCAGTTAGTTGTCCACTCCAAAATTCTTTTGAAAGAATTCAGGTTCCAGATAAAAAATGGTTCCCCCCTCCCCCGTAAACCTGAATTCAAACTTGAACATACATATGAGCCTTAACTATAGAAATGTTACAGTTTAGAGTCTAACCTTACACCATAGCTGTTTATCAATAAGGGAGAAGGTCTAGAAAACCAGTAGAGCAGCCACCACTGTTCAATCAGCATCAGGGGGCTATTCTTACCTTTTTAATTTTATTTATAGTTCTTTTATGAATTTATTCATATTCTTCATCCTTTTCTTTCTGCAGGTTTTCTTACACTGAAGCTTCAGATCCTGTTGAAGGTAGTACAGCAGGAGATCAGGACATACTGACCAGGCCTTGCTTTGAACTGTTGACTTTGGAGAGCCTTCTGTACAAGCTTGTATTTCCTATCACAGCTTTGCATGGCTGCTTCCAGTTTTGAATTCCAACACCATATGGAAAGTTCACCAGAGATCAAAGGCACAAAGAAGCTTGCCCTGATTCTTGCTTACTATTTGATTGTTTTTACAAATGTAGTCTATGCTGCCCTTGGTATTATCCTCATCTGCAATGCAGATGCACTTAGGTGCAACCCATAAATCTGATGCAGTTGCATCTGCATACATATTCTATTTCTATGTAAAGCTTGGGTAGAAACACATTCCTTGTAGATTTTGAAATACCATAAATTTGTTATAGTTATGGTATATTTTGATGAGCATTTCTGGGTAAGAGAGAACTTTGGATGCTTTTCAGCCTATGAAAAGCTTTACGGAAGATACATTTTTCAAAGATCTAAGTGCATTTGGTCGGATTCAAGATATTTTTAAACATGACTGGTGTCATTACAGTGGGTTTCCTGAACATCAGGATGCTATGCTGAATCACCATTGACATTCCTTCTGACTTTGATGGTATACATTTAGAATATAGTTTTAACAGGGTTTTTCAATCACAGTGACACCCACTTTCAGTTACTGTTACTGGCACTTCAGCAAGTGTTAGTAACTAAGTGTTAGTAACAAGTGTTAATTTCAAACACTTCAGTGCCATCACATCAGTTGTTCCCTTCCCATGCAAAGGAATAATGATCTTGACACAGTTGCAGTGATTAGGATCTAGTATAATAATAATAATAATAATAATAATAATAATAATAATAATAATAATAGATGAATTATTTAGATGATTCTTGGGGGTCTGGAGGCTACACCCTATAATGAACAGTTAAGGGAACTACCAATAGTTAGAATTGAAGAAGCTTCTTAGCTGAGTTATTAACCAGCATCAAAGGCTGTGAATCTCACCAAAGATTAACCAATAATAACAACAACAACAACAACAACAATAATAATAATAATCGTATATTTTAAGAAGATACTTGGTTGATACCTAGGACGCTGGCAGCAACTCGTATCAGCCATTAGCATCAGTCAATGGTATTTGTGACACATTTTTAAATGTCCAGTTGACTGAGTTTCATGTTTAATAATAATAATAACAACAACGTGATTATGGATGAAACATGTAACAGTGATACCCATTGTCATTGGGGCACTTGCTACCATGTCCAACAATTTTATAAAAAACATCAAGAAATTGTAGCTTCCTGGAATAACACCAGCAGAACTGCAAAAAACTGTGCTACTTGGAACATCGTACATTTTAAGAAGGTACTTGGATGATACCTAGGATGCTGGAAGCAACCCGTATCAGCCATCAGTGCCAGTCAATAATATATGAGATACATTTTTAAATGTTCAGTTGACTTTCATGTTTAATGAATATAATAATAATAATAATAATAATAATAATAATAATAATAATAATAATAATATAATAGCAGGGCCATAGTCTCATATGTGCTGCAGCATTTGCATAGTATTTTGCTTAAAACAGCAAGATTCCATTCTTTTACTGTTTTAAGACTGATGTGTTGGACTGAAATGCATGGCTTTGTAAGACAGAGGGCCGAGCATCTTGTAAATGTTTTGTATATTAAATGGCAGCAGTGCTAATTCTCTTCAGTCTATATCTGTTTCAGATGTGTTCATTCATAAATACATACTATTTCTGCCTTAATCTGTATGTTTCCGAAAAAAAAAGTAGAAAAATATACTCATTTTATATGCATTTTGTCATAAAGTATACATTTTGCTGTAAACTATCCAAGTTTATTTATTTGGACTGAAAATTAGGGTGTAAGATTTGAAGAAGCATTAAATTGCTTCTTTGGTGTAATAGTTAAGGTATTGGTCTAGAAACCAGGAGAAGGTGAATCTTAGTCCCATTTTGGGCATCTCTCTCTCTCTCTCTCTCTCTCTCTCTGAGGTTCTCACTATCAGGAAATTTCTTCTTAGTTCCACGTAGGATTTCTCTTCCAGCCTTTCCTTCTTGTTTGGATGTATTATTTCAAGTATTTTTCTCATTAGTGCAGTATAAAGCCGTATTATCACTTCACGTGATCTTGATGTTATCCCTCTTTAATGCAGGGCTCAACTCATAGCAGTTGGCTTCCACATGTGGAGAAATTAAAATGTTCAAGGACCTTATTTACATTTTGTGTGTGTATGCCTTTAAATGCTTATTCTAGGAGAATTAAAATAGTTATGGTATTGTTACAATGGGGGCAGCATCTAGCTAAATTTGTTTGCTCTCAGAAGCAGAAAGTGGGGTCTGATTTGGTAGTAATTTGGATGGAGGAACTCGAGGGCACTCCATATCTATGTACATGGATACATGTATACTTTACATGGAAATAAAAAAATATCATCTCAATAGACAATGCTAGCAAATCAACATTGCCAAGAGAACCCTATCGATGCGTCGATGTGATCACTAAATTGAGATCTTCTTTAAAGTGTTTCTGCTCACTGCAATTTAAACACCCTTTAATATACAGGTAGTCCCAGAGGTGAAATTCAGCAGGTTCTGACAGAGAACCGGTAGCGGAAATTTTCAGTAGTTCGGAGAACTGGCAAATACCACCACTGGCTGGCCCCAGAGTGCAGTGGGAATGGAGATTTTGCAATATCCATCCCCTGGAGTGGGGTGGGAATGGAGATTTTGCAGTATCCTTCCTCTGCGATGCCCACCAAGCCATATCAAACCCACCAAGCCACGCCCACAGAACTGGTAGTAAAAAAATTTGAATTCCATCACTGCCATTTTCCAATGTCTAAACTAGAGGAAGAAACAGGATGTGATTTTAATTTATTGCCAAATCTACAGCATGTAAATTAGAGGTGGGTTTCAGCAGGTTCTGACCAGTTCTGGAGAACCAGTAGCGGAAATTTTGAGTAGTTCGGAGAACCGGTAGTAAAAATTCTGACTGACGCTGCCCCCATCTATTCTCTGCCTCCCAAATCCCAGCTGATAGGGAGGAAATGGGGATTTTGCAGTAACCTTCTCCTGGATTGGGGAGGGAATGGAGATTTTACAGTATCCTTCCTTTGCCATGTCCACCAAACCACGCCCACCAAGCCATGCCACACCTACCAAGCCATGTACACAGAACCAGTAATAAAAATTTTTGAAACCCACCACTGATGTAAATGTAGTGTTGTGATGTGGTTAGCTTTATACTTTGAAACTAAACTTTAAGAATTGTAGGAGTTTAATTTTCAATAGAATAATATATCGAAGGTTCACCAACATGGCATCACACTTTTTAAAATGTAATAATTTTATATGTTATTTTATCTAATGGATATAACTTAGAAAGCTATTTTAATAGAATGCATATTTCATTATTATATGTTCTAATAGACACATTGTGATACATACATCTTATTGAAAAGTGCATTGCCAAATTATGCACAGTGCAAATGTCGAATTATAATTACGTTTTATATTTGTGGGGCTCTGAGAATTATGGTGGGAATGCCTATTGAACCCATTTCTTCACAGTGCCTAGAATTAAAACAATTGTTCTGCAATACCATTCTCCTTCAAATTATTCCCAACACATTTAAAAGTAAACCTGCATTTTCCCCACACTTGTCCACACCATCTGCAGATCAAAAATATGTTCAGCATAGTGCCATGATCCATATGTTTGTAATTCTAGAACTAACCAAAGGCACATTTAATCAATAATTGATCATTCAATGCCGACCAATAGCTGAATACAGGGAATACCACCCAATCAAAGTTCTCTCTCTTTCAAAATTGCCAATTATTGAATTACTATCTTCATCCAATCCCACAAGATCTGCCAGCATTCTCTAAATTAAGAAATATCCATTAATTGATTAATTTGGCTTAATTTGGTTTTTTCCAGGCAGACAAGAGACTCTTAGCAGGTTACAAACTTAAAAAATAAAACACCAAAACATTCACAGTGCAAAACAAATCAAATCAAAATGAATGAAAAATAAACTGGATAGGAGCCTGGATAGCTCAACAGACTAAGCACTATAATTTAACACCAGCTGTCTGCAATTAAAGTAAGATCGAATCTCGCCAGGCTCAAGGTTGACTCAGCCTTCCATCCTTTCTAAGGTAGGTAAATTGAGGACCCAGTTTGTGGGGGCAATAAGCTGACTTTGTATAAAAATATACAAAAGTATGAAGGCTATTGCTTAATGCACTGTAAACCGTCCTGAGTCTCCAGAGAAGGGCGGCATATAAATCAAATTAAAAAAAAAAAAACTGGCATAAGCACAATAACTTAAAAAATGACAAAAACATGAACAAAAATACTGACACAACCAATAAATAGATGGTGACATTCTGAGTTCCACAATAGCTCTGTTTTGAATAATTTCTGAGAAAACAATTTCTGAAAAATAGGTTCTTTCTGATATTGTTAATCTTCACATCAGGCAAAATTATTAATCTTGATTCTCCAGATACTAAAGTCTACTGTGTATTAAAAAACTTGCTTTCAGCACAAACTTCAGAGACCTGTCATGACTAAGATTAGCACACAGTAGTTGCTTTGTTGCAGACAAGAAAGTAAGATAACTTCCACATGCCTTTCTATAGAATGTAAGTGAAAAATATTTTTCTTTCAGGACAAAAATTGATTTCTTTTCTATCCATTTCAATAAATCTTATTTTAAAAAGTGAGTATAAATTGACACGCCTTTATTTTAACTCAAGGTTCCATTTCCTGAAAAGAAAAGCAACTGGCCCAGTCTATGTAATATGGACTTTGACCATTTTGTATTTTAATTGCTTGCTATAATTTATTAATGCTTCTATAACTGGTTTAAAGGTAAGAGATTTTATACAGAGAATTACACCTGAACATAGATACAAATCCAGTCCTTCTCTCTCCAAAGTTAAAACTATTGGCATCACTAGAATGGTTTTCAGATCAGCAGTTGTGAAACAGAAACGTATCAGGAAATGCTGATGTTAATCATGCTAAAATACAAAATTATATTTTTTTTTGCTTTCTTCTAAATGAACAATCTTCTTCCTGAATGTGTGACGCTCTGAAGCTTGGGTTCAGCCTCCAGATTCAGGGTCCAAAACTTGCTGTAAACTGAATTTGATGGAGGAGGAACACAGGAAAAATTAAGTGTATTTAAATGTTTAATTAAAGTCAGTGTAAATTTTTGTTCTGTGCTGGTCTCACATTTTAAAAACAAAAAACAAAGAGTTGTGCAGAATTTTATATCTGTTCATCTCATTTTAAATAATAATAGACAGGAAACAGGAACTGAGGCCATAACAGCTACATATCATATGTTCCACTTACCTTTACTACCGATTCACATCGTGCCCGCACGTATGTGCTTGCTTAACTCGTGCGCACACACGCTCTTCTCCGCATGTGCAGAAGCTTCTGCCCATGCCCAGATCACTTCTGATGATGTCCGGGTCAGTGGGCCAAGCCTCCCGCCAGTTTTACTACTGGTTCTATAGAACTGGTCCAAACCGGGGGCAACCCACCACTGGTATGTATACTACATACATATACATGAAGTTGGTATGAGGGAATCATACAGTGGTGGGATTCAACCAGTGTAACAACCGGTTTGTGCGGTGCATTTGAAAAGAGCTCTAAAACCTACCTTCTACTGCAGCCCCGGTGAGGCACAGCAATCCATTCTGCTGTGCTGATTAGCTGGGCTTCAAACAAAGGAAATATAGGGCAATATAGGGCAGGGGCAGGCAGGCAAGCCCAGCTGATTGTTAGAGCGAACCAGTTTGCTCTCAGCTGATCGTTGGAGCTACCGGTTCGCCCAAAACGGTGCGAATGGGCTGAATCCCACACCTTGAATTATACCAACTTCATGTTCATTTCCAGCTTCATGTTCAGCTTTCTTCATGACTAAGAATATTGACTCAGAGTGCTGGGAGTTGTAGTTGTAGTTCAATTTTGCAGAAAATCTTAGATCTTCCATTCCTACTTTGGGTAATATGCACCAAGTCACTTATGACAGGAAGGAATAAAGACTGGATTCACATAGTAAACTAAGCTATAATTTCATTGGTTAGTTTGTGGCATAAGTGTTTTACACACTCAGCCAGGTTATGATTCAATATAACGTACAAATGCAAACAATTGTTTATTTAAAGATCTATGATTCCCTAGATTGGTATTGTGGAAACTCAATCAATATTGTGTGGAGTTGATTGTTTCAGCCTGTCTATGCATTTTCCAACATCTGCTAATTCATGACTCTTCCAGATATCCTTCCTTCCTTCCTTCCTTCCTTCCTTCCTTCCTTCCTTCCTTCCTTCCTTCCTTCCTTCCTTCCTTCCTTCCTTCTCAACTATTGTGGCTACCTCACTGTTTTTAGATTCAGTTACAGCTATTTTTTTAAAAAAGTTTAAAACATTCTACCTTCTCCTCACATTCAGTATACATACTCACACATAAACACACACACACCCTAGCTGATAGAATTATGTCAGTACCATGTCCCACAATTTGAGAATGCATTTGCTATCAATAGATGGTTAGATGTGGATCACTTTGATTGAAACTGCAGTGGTATACATCCACCGTTTTTAGGTTGTGGTTGTTAGTTACACTGCACCACAAACCAATTAACCATCTTTTAGTCTAGCAGATTGTTCAAATTCAAATTCTCTGTTATTCTGAAGTACAGTGTGTACAGAAAAAAAGCAGGCAAATGTTAAGAGAGTTAAAGAACACAAGAGCCTACTCCACTAATTCTGGAAATAATTATAATTTTGTGCCTATGGTGAGTTTTCTGCCAGTATCCACAAAACTGTCCCTTCCTGTTCTGGATTAATTTCCCAGCTCAGGAGGGAATAAAATAATAATGGAAGTTTGTAACATAAAGACCTGAGATGATTTTTTTTTTTTTAAAGCCTATCCTAGTTGACTGTAATATCTGCATGAATCATAGTTTTCCATAGGTAGGTGCTAGTCTAAGAAAGACCTGGGAAGGGGTTAATAGATGGACTTTTACCTTGGAGCAGCTGACTTTCCAGTTAATTATCCCGCCCAAGAGATAATTCCAGAGGGCTGTTCTTTGTCCTCCCTGTTGAGTTAGAGAGCAGGAGCACAGGAAAAAGTCCAGACAGAAGTCAAGGCTTGGCAGATTTTTTTTTTTTTTTGTATTTTTGTATCTTGATAAAATTTAGTCTCCAGGAAAAAGAAAAAAAAAAGTGACATCGGGGGATTTTGATTACCTGCAATATGAAAACTTTACTTCAGAATTAGGGTGGAAGTGACGTCTGCCATAAAATTTTGGGAATTAGAAACTTTGTAGTGAGGTTTTGTTTTGTTTCCTTCTTTTCATTTTGTAGCCTTTTCTGATCGTTTTAAAACCTTCCCTTCTGGCATGAATTTGATCCAGCCTTGTATTTTGCTGGGCTGGTTGTAAACTTACGAATATGGTTTGATTGCTGCAAAATTTGTTCACATGAAAAAGAATGGATATATACTTGCTTTCTCTTGCTGTTTCTACGTGAATATTGTTGTTGGGTTTATCTAGGGAATAATCAAAGACAAGAGAAGGAACTCCAAGAAAAGGTAAGTGAATAAATTGATTCTCTTGAGGGTTTGTTTTTTTTAAAAAAAAACAAAACCAGCAACTGTCCTCAGGCCTAGCGAAGGACAGCTGTATGGAGAAGATGAAGTTGTAAACCCATCAATCTGGGAACATTGTATGTTCACAAGAAAGCCTCAGGGCAAAGTTTAATGTGCTGCTTGTTGAAATCCTTCAAAAGTATTTCTTATTTGAAATATGCATTTCCAAGGAATTGGGAATAATAACAGAATAACGTATCCATTTAATTGGTAATGCATCTTGAGCAAGCTAGAGAACAAGAGGAAGAAACTACATGCACATGTTGACGTTAGGTCAGTTACAAACCTAGTGGAGGAATGCATGCAACATGCTGGCTAGTGTGAGATAGTTTAGCGTATTGTGTGAACAAATCCAGGGCATTTGCTCAGCTTAGGGTTTATGATATTCAGCAAACTCAATAACCAAGTCAAGCATGTTACAATGTTCATAACAGGGAGATGCCCGTTGAGTGTTGCAATAGAGAGGTAGATGTAGCTACGCGGTCATTGGTTTTGGTTCTTATATCCAAACGGAAGTAATGCATGATCAAGTCCCTGATTTGCTTCTGTATATGAATTTAGGAAAGTGTCCATTACTATAAACCATGGCTCACTCTAGATGAATCTTATCCAAGCAGGTTTGATTTGAATACTGTGAAATTTCAGGCAGCTTAGCAGTATTTTCAACGCTACCCTAAATACTAATAAAATGGAGCCCTTTTGAAAGCAAGTGCTTTGTTTTACAACTTTTCTGTTCTGCTCAGATCCTCAAGTATAGATAATTTTCCTGATTGCATTGGTCAAATCTTTTGTTACTCTGAGGGGATCATATGATCCACCTGAGTAGGATTGTTTTCAGGAGATCTGGAGAAGGTGGAAGAGATCAGCCCTGCATAAGGGAAGAATACTTAACAATTGTTAACGTAAGACTAGCTAGATTCACAATCCACGTTGCAGTTAAACTTGGACTGGCACCAGGAAGATGGAGGTTCAAATGCACTTTCATTTCACCCATCGAAACTGACTCAGGGACTTTGGACCAATTGTACTGTCTGAGCCCAACCTACCTTAGAGAGGAGATATTCCGGGGGAAGACTAGAATTCAAGGTCCTGAGGGAAGGCAGGATGGAAATCCAATGAATAATGAAATAAAAATGTGCTAAACTAGGAAGAAACCAGTGGTGGGTTGCCCCCGGTTCAGACCGGTTCTATAGAACCGGTAGTAAAACCAGCGGGAGGCTCCGCCCATTGACCCCAACATCATCACATGTGCGCGCAGCCATTGCATTACCTTTACCAGTAGTAAAGGTAAGTAGAACCCACCCCTGGAACAAACATAGTGTTGGCAGTGCTAGTTGGTATGTTTGCCATGAGATTTGGGATTTAAGTGGACATTATGCAATGACTGATGAAGTCACCAATGGATAGTTGTTCTGGGTAACCCAATGTTGCTATTTTTCTTTTGTGAGTCATGATGGGAAGCCATTCCTAGAGAAAGGAGGTTGACAGTCAAACACAGACTTTGCTTCTCTGTTCTTTCTCAAGTAACATTGCAAATCATACAGTTAACAAGACAACTGGTAGAGAAACGGTTACCATTATTTATTCAGCACATTTCTACAAGGCTCATTTCACCTAAGTCAGGGGTGTCAAACTCAAGACCCGGGGACCGGATCTGGCCCATGGGATGCTTAGATCTGGCCTGTGGGGCTGCCCTAGAAACAGCAAAGGACTGGCCCAGAGTGCCTCTGCCAGCGAAAATGGAGCTTGGGAGCACCACCCTCCTGAGCTCTGCTTTTGCTGGTAGAGGGTTGCAGGAAGCCATCGCAGCCTCAGGCTGCCACAGATGCCCCCGACACGAATTATGTCGATCTGGCCACACAGATCCTAGCCATGCCCATCCCAGCATCCGAGATCAAACACAACCAAGATGCGGCCTTTAATGAAATTGAGTGACACCGCTGACCAAAGTGACACAGTTTACAGTAGAAATGTGTAATATAAAATCATAAATAAGAACAAGTTAATTTTTAAAAAGTCAGTGTTAAGGTATTAAAAGTTAAAGGTTTAAAACATTAAAAAGGTTGAGAGAACCTCATCATGACACCAACCAAGCTCCCATATAATTTTTGATCCACATCCTAATTGGCAAAACCAGGTCTTAGCACTCTTTCTGAAGGCCAGAAGTGTGGGGCTCTGTCTCATCTCTGGGGGTAAGAGATGGGCAGGGCAGGGACAATGACAGAGAAGTTTTTCACCTGGATCCTACCAGTTTGAATTCTTTCTTTCTTTCTTTATTAATTAAATTTGTATACCGCCCTACTCCCAAAGGACTCAGGGCGGTGAACAGCCATGAATTCTTTGACTAATTATATCCAAAACATATCCTCCCTGCCTGACTGGGTGGGATGGGACAATGTAAAGACAATTCCTCAGATAATAGCAATAGCACTTAGACTTATATACCGCTTTACAGTGCTTTACAGCCCTCTCTAAAGGATTTACAGAGTCAACATAATTGCCTCCAACAATCTGGGTCCTCATTTTACCCACCTCGGAAGGATGGAAGGCTGAGTCAACCTTGAGCTTGGTCAGATTTGAATTGCCAAATTGCAGACAGCCGGCAGTCAGCAGAAGTTCCCTGCAGTACTGCATTCTAACCACTCCGCCACCATGGCTCTTGGTTGAGTAACTTGATAACTTGGTTGTACGTATGCCATTTCATAGGTTGTAGCCTGAACGTAGTCATAAATTTCTTGAACTTGAAATCAGAGGCCTTAAAAATGAATGGGATGCTACTTTCTTTGACTTATTTAAATTCACCTTCATTCCCTGTATAAAATGAAACAAACCAAATGTTAACAAGGGATGATATTTATGTAGTTACTTACCAAACACATCTAAATTCTATTAAAGTAACCAAAATATCTTTATAATCCCCAAGGGATGTCACAACTTGTGAGCACCGCTAATGTTTGGAAATTGAAACTTGAAAAATTTGACACGCCCTACCATATCCTATTGAAACATTCATTGCCTGTCAACAGGGTCTACAACAAAGTTTAACATAGAAAACTACCTTTGCTCTAAAATTGTGAATCGGCAAAAATATACTGCACTCACTACCTAGATTTCTTTTTGAGTAGGGATTTTTTTGCGCGAGGACATTGATTATAGGATGTCCTAACCCATGATTACCTAAATCATAGGCTATTCAAGATAACTTCATTTTCTGGGTTTGCATAACACATTGAATTGTAATCTGATGACATGGCTTTGCTTTGAATATCATATTAGGCTGTAATGTTGTTGTTAAAGGTGGTGTCCATATCTGCAATTACTTTCTCTTTTTACATGGTTGGTTTATTCCAGCCGCATAGACCTCAATATTTTGCAACTCATCCTGGAGGGAGCTAAGACCACAACTTGATGGCACATATCAGGTCTAACTCTGCTGATTCCAGGAGTTCGATTCTGACCAGCTCAAGGTTGACTCAGCCTTCCATCCAATGGTGGATTCTTCCCGGTTCAGCCCGATTTGGCCGAGCTGGTAGTGGTGACAATATGATGTCACCGAACCGGTTCTCTTTGTTCAGGAGCTGGGCCCTCCCGCCCCTCCCCTCGCGTTATTCTTACCTTTTATTTGGCCCTGCCCCCAATCTATTCGCTGCCTCCCGAGTCCCAGCTGATTGGCTAGAAGGAAAAAAACTATTTAAACTCTTGCCATGGGGCTTCAAAGGGCCGCCCTACAGCTGATCAGTGTTAAAAGGCAATGTGGTGGTAGACCAGTGCCTCCAAAAACACATGGGTAGACTGGTGCCTCCAAGAACAAATGGATAGACTGGTGCCTCCAAGAACAAATGGGTAGACCGGTACAGCTCTGCAAGCAGTTAAAAGCCTGGTAGACCAATACCTCTGCTAATTCCTAAAGAATTGTCACATGACCATCAAACCACGCCCACAAAATAAGCCACGCCCACAGAACCGGTAGTAAAAACATTTAGAACCCACCCCTGCTTCCAACCTTCCGACGTTGGTAAAATGAAGACCCAGATTGTTGGGGGAAATATGCTGACATTTGTAAAACGTTTAGAGAGGGCTGTAAAGCATTGTGTCTAAGTCTGAATGTTCTGTTCATTTACTGTATGAGATGGTTCTGTGTAAGCAGACTTGATGGAAATTCAAAGCTATTTAAGAAAGGGGCAAAGTCTGGAATCTCTTACATCGAACATAAAAGTTAAACCTGGTTAGATAAGACAGACCAATTTTCCTGGATTTCCTTTATGGATTAGGACAGGGATTGAAAAAAAAAATATTAGCCAGCTTTAAGCAAAATTTAAAATGCAATCTATTTTAAGCAATTAATTTTTAAAACATCAAGAGAGTTGCTTCCAGAAGTTGCGGATGCGCCAGTACTGGAGATTTTTAAGAAGAGATTGGCCTGAAATGGTATAGAATTCCCTGCTTGACCAAAGGGTTAGCCTAGAAGACCTCCAAGGTCCTTTCCAACTTTGTTATTCTGTTTTAAGAGTAGTGGTATCTCCTGAGTCATGTGCATCCAGTTTGTAGGTTCCAGTTTTGAGTTGATTCATTGAAATGTTATGCCTACAAAAAGAGCCGCTGCTAGTAGATGTACTGCAAACATAGGTTCCCATAGAGGAGAACCTGACTGGAGGACATTGAATGTCTACCTCTTTGTCTCAGAGTAAAATGTGACTTAACTGATTTCCCTCCTTTGTTTTTATGTGCTTAATTTGTTTTTGTTTTTTTTCCAGAAGATGCCTGGTGCCAGAATTCATATCTGACTCTCCTAGCGAATGCCAATGGTCATGCTGTTTGACTCCATTGTCAGAGTAGAGTACATCTGGTATTGGCTGGATGAAAATGGCAAGTGGATTGAGTATGGCCAACAGGTAAATTTTTATCTGCTGGTGAATCAGACCTGGGATGTTGTCATTGCTGCTTCAAACAGCTTGAGCTTTGTTACACAGATTTATTAGCTGGGTTCACACACTGCAGTAAATTACAATGCAAAGCAAGTGTTTGCCTTTGGCTTAGTGTGTGCACAGTGTGGTCTTTGTGACTTGAGATACTCTACGCTCAGCTATTAATATTTATAAGCTCAGCTTATTAAATCATGATAAAGCAAACGATTGCTGAATATGATAATTGAATGTGATCGTTTTCTGCTGCTGTAGACGTCACTACAGAGCAGCACCTGGGGCCATGTCTTGAATATTGCTTGTCCCTGCTTTAGGGAATGGATGGTAGAGCTAAATACATATTGTGGCCCGTCAGTGGCCTGTGCAGCTAGTAGCTGATTCCAACAGCGAGGAGGCTGGTGTGGTGCTGCGCCAGCAGCCTGTGCAGCTGGCACTCGAGTCGGACAACGAGGAGGCTGGAGAAGATGTGGTGCCAGAGGCAGGGATTCAGCCAGGGCCTTCAGAACCTCCAGAAGCTCCCTTAAGTGAAGAGGAAGAAGAGGAGAAGCCTCTTCTCAATGCACGGGTGCGCAGAGCTGCCAAAAGGCAGGAGTGGCTCCTCAGGAGGAGGTCTCCTCGAGAATAAGGCTTGGGGCTAATTGGCCACTCCCTTAGCCTATTTAAGGAAGGACAACGACTGAGGCAATTTGCAGGGAACAACTTCGTTTACTCTCCTGCATGTCTTGATCTTAGTTCTTTGCAAATTGTTTCTGGGCTTTCTGCCAGCCACAGTAAGATTACGATTATTTATTCTTTGGATTCTTGTAGGCTGTTAAGAAAGTTAATTAACAGCCTTTGTTTTGAAAAAGACTGATTTAATTTAGTAAACTAAGATTTGTACAGACTTTGTGTGTACTGCGTTCTTTGGGGTCTGTAGCTGGGGCAGAACAATACAGATCATCCTTGACTTACAACAGTTCATTTAGTGACTGTTCAAAGTTACAACTGCATTCAAAAAAAGTGACTTGTGATCATTTTTCACACCCATGACCGTTGCAGCATCTTGATGATCAGACGATCAAAATTCAGACAATTGACAACTGACTCTTATTTATCATGGCTGTATTCTCCTGATTACCTTTTGCAACCTTGTGAATAGCAAAGTCAATAGGGGAGCCAGATTCACTTAACAACCATGCTACTAACTTAACAGCTGCAGTGATTCACTTAACAACTGTGGCAAGAAAGGTGGTAAAAGGGGCAAAATTCACTTAACAACTATTTCACTCAGCAACAGAAATTTTGGGCTCGATTGGGGTCATAAATCAAGGACAACTTGTATGGATAGATAGTCCTTGTTTAGTAATTACAATTGGGACCAGAAATTCAGTTGTTAAGTGAATTGATCTCTAAGGGAAACCACAACTGTGCTTATGATCTTACTCCAGCTTTTCTTTGCTTTATAGACCTGGAAAAGTTGTACATGTGAGTATTGGTCGTAAAATTACCTTTTCATCACCATCACAACCGAGAGAGTTAATAAACAAGGACTACTGTAATGTAACATCCTATTTTGTGTTTTGCTGTCCAATGTGTTCAAACACAATGACCCAAGTTAATTTACTCATTTCCCCCTCTTTCCCTTCGGTCTCTGTTTTCCTACTATATTTTTCTTTCTTTCTGTTTTGCAGAACTCTGGGCACTGTGCTACCTCAATTTCATCCTCTGAGTTGGAGGCTATTTTCCTAACTGATTACAGAGAAGTTTTATTCTTCCAGGCTGGGACTCAGCTATATACATTGAATTTTCAAGGTAATTTTTAGCAATAATAGCTTGGGATGTGACAATGACTGCTAATTGGTTCCCCCTGTGAATGTTTATCAAAGAAGTCAAGATGGCAGGTACAACTCACATGATTTTTTTTTAGGGATGGAGCCAGTTCAAATTATTCAAATAATTTAACAACAGGTCCTCTGCCCTAATGATTTCTTCCAACAACCAGTTCACCAAACTGCTGAAAAAGTTAACAACCGGTTCTCCCAAAGTGGTGCGAACTGGCTGAATCCCACCACTGGATGGAGCTTTCATCACACTTTTGAAGCTACCACAATGGTGGGATTCAATTATTTTTAATACCTGTTTTGTGGGTGTGGCTTGGTGGGCATGGCTTGGTGGGTGTGGCAGGGGAAGGATACCGTAAAATCTTCATTCCCTTCCCACTCCAGGGGAAGGATACTGCAAAATCCCCATTTCCTCCCGATCAGGTGGGAGTCGGGAGGCAGAGAATAGATGGGGGTGGGGCCAGTCAGAAGTGGTATTTACAGGTTCTCAGAACTACTCAAAATTTCCACTACTGGTTCTCCAGAATTGGTCAGAACCTGCTGAATACCATCTCTGGCACCATCTTGATTTTTGAAAACTCCCCCTGCAGCCATCCCTGTTGCTAACAGGAACATTATTTATGTTTATTCAAACTGTCAAATGAAAAAAAAAATGCAACCAGGCAAAACAATTGCCATTTAAGATTACCGAGTAGTACTCTGGGTTAAAAAAAAAAACCATTCTGAACATATATCTACCACTGCCAGTAATAGGCATTTTCTTGACAGATCATTAATTTAACAAATGTAATCATTAAATATTTTGTTCATCTAGAGTCCTTGGGGTATAGTTTGTCTCTTCTTGATAATATTTTAGTAAGATTAAATTTCCATGAGACTGAACTGACTGAGATTCTGGTATCTTACCTTATTTTTAAATATTACTAAACCTGACACTGCCAGTTGTGGAATAGCACAGTGTTTTTTAGGAAGCGAAAATGGGTGTTCCTCTCGGTTGTTCTTTGGAAGTTTTTGATTTCCAAATATAAGGGCTTCCCTCTATTATATTGATAATCGGATGTAAATCTGGCCAAGTGCATCAAATATAGTCCTCCTGTGCAATGGTGCGTTTCAAATTTTTTTACTATCGGCCCTGTGGGTGTGGCTTGGTGGCCATGGCATGGCTTGGTTGGCGTGGCAGGGGAAGGATATTGTAAAATCTCCATTCCCACCCCACTCCAGGGGAAGGATATTGTAAAAACTCCATTCCCTCCCCAATCCAGGGAAAGGTTACTGCAAAATCCCCATTTCCCCCCGATCAGCTGGGACTTTGGAGGCAGAAAATAGATGGAGGTGGGGTCACCTCAGAATTTTTACTACTGGTTCTCCGAACTACTCAAAAATTTCTGCTACCGGTTCACCAGAACTGGTCAGAACCTGCTGAAACCCACCTCTGCTCCTGTGTAGCTAAAGTACTCTTTTTTGCATAGTCCACAAAGCTTTATCAACAACAGCAGATCAACCGTAGCAGCCTACAATGCCTTTTACTTAAGTTAAATTGATAAGTGAATTAATTCTTAGTAGAGGTGAGTTATTTGACAGTGTGTTTTGCTGTTTCCTTCAAGAGATGGTTCAGAGAAATGTGTACTACCAAACACAGAGAAGAGTCTGCAGATGGCCCCGACTTGTATTTTTTGGAGGTAGACGCAAAAGCGAGAAGAGGTAATTAATATTTTTCACAAAATCATTTACAGGTTGTTCTCGACTTAACAACCACAACTGAGTCCAAAATTTCTGTTGCTAAGTGAGGTGGTTGTTAAATGAGTTTTGCCCCATTTTGCGACCTTTCTTGCCACAGTTGTTAAGTGAATCACTCACTGAAGTTAGTAACACGATTGTAAAGTGAATCTGACTTCTCAACCGACTTTGCTTGTCAGAAGGTCACAAAAGGTGATCATCATCACCTCAGGATATGTAACCATCATAAATATGAACCAGTTGCCAAGCACCCAAATTTTGATCCCTTCCCCCTTCTCCCAGTTTCAGCTCTGCCACTTCAGTAATTTCACAGTGACACTAGTCACAGTCCATGTGGTTCTTGGGCAGGTGGTGCCCTCCTACTCCAGACCTCTATCCAAAACCTCATAATATTGTGGGAGGAAAAAATAGCAATTATCTTAGTAGGAAAATGAAGAAAAACATTTCAGCCATTTCAAGCAAAAGGTCTGTGGAAAATAAATCACCGTTGCATTTGTTGTGGTCCACCAGCAGCCTGCGGAGCTGGCAGCGGAGTTGAACAGCAATGGTGCTGAGGAAGAAAATGGGCCACTCCTGGAGGCTGGGGAAGGCCCAGATGAGGACTCTGCATTGGAGGCAGAAATGGGGCCAGGGCCATCAGGGAGTGATGTATGGACTTCGGAGCCTCCAGAGGCTGACAGTAGAGAGGCAGAGGAACAGGAGGAGCCTGTTCCTAGTGCACATATGAGAAGAGCTGCCAGAAGGCAGGAGCAGATAAAGCAGAGAGGATGACTCGGGAGTCATCAGAGAGGATGATTGGCCCTTCCCATAAGGCTTAAAAGACCAGCAACGGCTCTTGGCCTCTTTGTCGGAAATCAACGTTGAGAGAATTGGTTCTTGTTTCACTGTATTCATTTCTTGTCAGCGTCTTCTGCTTTGAATTTTTGCCAAGAAAAGCCTTTGGCAATTTGCCTAATTATCCCAAGGTCAGGTGATAAACTGTGTAATGGTGTTTTGAAGAATTTGCTTTAATTTAGTTTGGACTATACTGAGAATGAGTTAATTCTCAGCTGTTCTAATAAAGTCTGTTTTCAAACTGTTTGTATTTAATACTAACTACTTAGGGTTAAGTAGCCTGGGTCACAACAACGTTAATCCATTGAAACATTTCCAAATAAATAAACAACAACTGGATTTGTACATTGTGCTAATCAATATGTTACTTAAATCAGTGGTTCTCAACCTATTCTTCACCACGGACCCCCTTTAAATACCTTTTGTGGCCACTGACTACGGCCACCGACCCCCAAAGACTTAACTCAAAATTTAAATCATAACATTTCTTCAAGTCTTCGTGGGCCCCCTGTGATGACATCATGGCCCCTCAGGAGTCCACAGACCATTGGCTTAGAACTACTGATTTAAACCATGGTCTTGTTGGTCTGATTCACACTCTCATAAACTTTACCAATCAAACTAGTGGATTCATATCTCACGCTAAGCTGAAAATCTAGTGTGTCAGTGCAGTACATAAACCCTCCCACTAAATGAATGAAGCTCAGTGTTTCTCAGTAATGCTTAGGTCTCCTAAGAAATATACTGCTGAAATGCACTCATACCACAGATGGGTTTCAGCAGGTTCTGACCAGTTCTGGAGAACCGGTAGTGGAAATTTTGAGTAGTTCGGAGAACCGGTAGTAAAAATTCTGACTGGCCCCGCCCCCATCTATTCTCTGCCTCCCAAGTCCCAGCTGATCGGGAGGAAATGGGGATTTTGCAGTAACATTCCCCTGGAGTGGGGAGGGAATGGAGATTTTACAGTATCCTTCTCCTGCCATGCCATGCCCAGCCATACTCACAGAACCATTAGTAAAAAATTTTGAAACCCACTACTGACTCATTCCTTTGTCCTAAACTGTACTTGATTACAATTCCTGGGTTGTTTTCAAGTAAATACCTAAATATAATAGATTCCTGCAGTTTGCTGGCAACTGAATCATGTTTATATTCAGTTTCCACTTCCAATGTATGCTTCTCAATGATTTTGTTGGAAGTGTGACTTTCAAACAATTTGACCATAAGGAGCTTTGAGATGTAGTATTTCAGGGAATTAAGCCTGCTCTCTGGCTCTCCTCCTCCTGGTAATCTATGGTCAAAGAGGTGCTTATCATATATTTCTTTAAATACATCTTTCTGTTACAGTTATAAAACCTGCTTCATTGCTCATGGTTTAGGCTCAGTTCCCAGTCTCATGACACTCTTATAGACAAACATCTCCTCTCCATCATTTTACATCTTTACTAACCCTGGATTTGATGAAATAAAAGTGATGAGATTAGGAATAGCTTTCCAGTTCTAATAGCTTTCAATAATTTGGGAAAGGGCATTTTTTTTGTGTGTTTTAATGACCCCATAATCCTGTGCATCAGGGTGGAGTCGGGGCAACTGAATGGAACTAAGTGTTTACTGGATGACTTTCCTGTCGCCAATGCAGAGTTCTCAGCTGATATTTACTCATTGTGCCCAGAGAAAGAAATATCTGCCATTACCTAGGATCGAACTCAAAGCCTCTTGATTGTGAGGCAAAAATTCCATCTCTAGCCACTGCACCACTCTGGGAAAGGGTAAATATGTTTGGAAATATTAGTTTGAGGAACTAACACAGTTTCTCTTGACCTGGTACCTTTCAGAGAGTTAGATCAGGGGTCCCCAAACCCTGGTCCATGGACCGGCATCAGTTTCGCGGCATGCCAGAAACTGGACCGCGAAAACAAGCAAAGCCCATCTGCGGGATGCAGGCAGTACATGAAACTACACCCCCTCTGGTCCGCAGAAAAACCTCTCTCCATGGAACCGGTCCCTGATGCCCAAAAGGCCCCCTCAGTGGGGGACCACTGAGTTAGATTGCTGTTTTCATCATTTCCAGCCACATTGAATATTTTAGCCAAAAACCAGCAGAGAGTACTGAATTGGAGAGGTTTGCTCCAAAATAGAAAGAGAAAATTGGAAATTAAATGAGACAATAATGCTCTTTGTTTCTTTATTTCCACAGTAATGCTCTTTGTTTATTTCCCATTTGCAGCTGCCGTTTTGAATCTTCTTTTCTCTTCCACTTGTTTCCTTCAACCTGGGATCAGTCAGCCCTTCCTAACATAGGCTATGAGGTATTCTGTTTTATCTGACCATAGCAACAACCTCTGTTTCTGCTCTTATTAAAAACATCTTCCATTTACACAGTAGTGGGTTTCACTTACCTTTGCTACCGGTTCGGAACTGCGAGCATGTGCTTGTGCGCATTTGCTTCGCTCGTGTGTGGCGCTTCTGCGCATGCGCAGAACCTTCTGTGCATGCGCAGAGTGTCCATATTGACGTCTGGGCGGGTGGGGGGAGCCTTCCACCATCGCCGCTACCAGTTCGTCCGAACTAGGGCAAACTGGTAGAAACCCACCACTGCATGTGCAGTTGGGTAACTTCCTTCCCTTTTTCTTTCTCTGTCTTTCCACCCCCACCCTGAACACAACTTGGTATGTTCGTTCAGGTTTATGCCACCCTACTTCCTAAAACTTTCTCCCAAGTTCATAGGGGCTCAAATGCAGTTTGTTGGGGATCAGCATTTCCCTTTGCTCCCGACCATTTGATCATTGCTGTAATGTTGACAGAAGTCATCTTTACAACATTTCTAGGGGGAAGATATCAGCTAACAATAAACAATACTGTTTGGTGGTATGGTTGGGTCATAAACATCTCTAAGAGCCCTGGTGGCACAGTGGTTAAAGTGCAATATTGCAGGCAAACTCTGCCCATAGCTTGGAGTTCGATCTTGTTGGGGCTCAAGGTTGATTCAGCCTTCCATCCTTCTGAGGTTGGTAAAATGAGGACCCCAATTATGCAAATAATGTTTCTTCATTGCTCAGAGAATGCTGCTAAATGCTATGGGGTGGTATATAAGTCTAAAAGCTTCTGCTATTCCCTATGCCCCTGTAAGTGCCTAGAGATGACACCCAAACCTTCTTACCTCTGCCCTATGTCATATAAAAGCCACATCATTTGAAATAGTCCACCATTTCTTTTGAAAGTAGCTTTCAGGTGGCTTGAAAGATACTTCTGGTTTTTTGTGAACATCAGACACAATTAAATGTGAAATAGCCCTCTGGCAAATAATGATAAGTGAACAGTTTTACTGGGGTTACACCATCATGTCCCTTGGCAATATTTTGCATGTGCCCCCCCCCCACGCATGAGCGCGTGAACCCCCCACGCGCCATGCCCCCATGCATATGCACGGCCCCCTCTTTGGGTCTCTGCCGCGCATGTCGGGGGGCGGGGAGCATGTGGAGGGCACACGCATGCACCACACACCCCCATGCATGTGTGCGCCCTCCTCATACACCCCCCGCATGCGCGGCAGAGACCCAAAGACCAGTTGATTGGCAGGAGGTGCACACATATGTGCAGCAGAGCTGAACTGGGGCAATGGCTCGCGTGCCATCAGAGAGGGCGCTGCGTCCCACCTCCGGCATGAGTGCCATACGTTCGCCATCATGCCCCTATACCATTTCAGACAAATAGTTATCCAATTTCTTCTTCAAAACTTCCAGTGTTGGAGTATTCACAACTTCTGGAGGCAAGTTCTTCCACTGATTAATTGTTCTGTCAGGAAATTTCTCCTTAGTTCTAGGTTGCTTCTCTCCTTGATTAGTTTCCACCCATTGCTTCTTGTCCTGCCCTCATGTGTATTGCTTAACTGTGAATCAAGGTTGGATAATTTATTAGAGGGATTAGAGACATAGTAAATGAACAATGATGTACTATGATTAAGACATATTTTTATGTATATGGTGAGGCCATGGTTTATAAAGTACAGTGGTTAGGTTCACTCACTATAATTATTTTTTAAGAAACTTATTCTGCTCTTAATTTATTTGATCTACATGGGTTATGTTACGAGCCCCCATTTTGACCTGAAAGGGACAAATATAGAAAGAATGAAAAATATTTATAGATCAAAAGCAACTAAAAGATTCGTTCACAATAGCTCTGATCTTGTTCCTAGCTGGTAGAGGTCTCTAATTCTTCAGAAGAGTATCATGAAATCAAGATGCTTTTTGAGAAGACAATGGAAGATTACATTATACGTAGACTTCAAAGAGTTCAGAACCCTTCTCTCTGGCAAGTCTTTCAATGGTTTGTATTGGATTTTAATTTTCCTCCTGGGGAGTCAAAATCATGGTATAATAATTGGATCCAGCACTGTATCTGGAACTTATCTTATGTGTTCTCTATTGAGTATTAGTACTGTTGTGAATTTATTTTTTGTGATCGTATACCATATCTATCTGGTTGTGAATAGACTGTGGCCTATAAGCAAAAAGTAGGAAGGGACCTTGGACATCATTTAAACCAGACTTTTCTAATCTGATCTGTTTGATCTAGTTCCATGTAGACTTAGATCATTGTTGCCTTACCACAGTTCTGCAGAATTCTAGCACAGCTCCAATTATGCTAGAGATTGAATTACATCATTCATGCATATCCATTGCTACTGAATGATAGCCTAGCTTAATAGATCTGGGAAAAATGAATTTAGTACTTTGTTTGGGAAAGCTACATTAAATTGGGGTAATAAATTTAGATTAGTAAATTTAGCTTAATAAATATGTTTACTAAATGTTTTAGATCCTTTTGCGGTATGTCTTTCAAGTCGGAAGAGAGAAGTGATTTAAATTCTTTTTGACCTCAAGTATAACTTGAAGTAGTTTGTTTCTAGGCAAAAAGAGCAGATGAAGAAGCTGAACAGAGGAAAGGAAATTGATGAACGGCTCTTGTTTCATGGCACTAGCACATCACACCTGCGTGACATCTGTGGGCAAAACTTTGACTGGAGAATTTGTGGCACGCATGGAACACTATATGGAAAAGGTACTGGAGAGTTGGGAAGAAGTAGTGAATTCTGGAAGAGCGAAGTATTCCCTACCTTGAATTAGAATTCACATAATTTGCAATATTTGAAGATATCTGAGTTTTGGCATCTTCAAGTATTGTTTTTCTATCTATTTCCCCAAATGTTTGCATTTATGTCCTGACTTTTATTTGAGAGCTCAAATCTGCATATGTGGGAAGCCTTCCCTAATTTTATTCCCACGATAACTCTGTTCAGCTGAAAGGTAGTGGCTGGAACTAAATCACTGAAATAAATCCTTTACTCCAGTGGAAGTGTGAACTTGGGTCTCTACTGTCCAACTCCTTAACCACTACACACTGACTTTCAATTACTTGGCAAATTGTACTACCAGGAAAATTCATGTGCGAGATATATAGTTGCAGTTTTGAATGCTTTGGTTCAGTGTGCCACCTAATGATTTTCCATATATGCATACTCAAACTGTCCGTCTGACACACACTCAACCCTATAATACATCCCTATTGTGTGAAGATTGTGTTATTGGACTACATTAACAGAGGCCTTACGTTTGAACACTGGAAGTAAAAGGAGCCATTAAAAACATGGGCGAATATGTTCTTGTGGGAAACTAGGGACCTCTAGTGTTGCTGAATCTGAGTATCCAGCAGTCCCAGCCAGCACAACCAAAGGGATGTTGGGAATTGTAGTTTAGTAATATTTGAAACAGGGGTAGGCTGCTGGGGGTTTGCAGGGGTTTGGGAGAACCTCTAGCTAAGATTCTGTGCAGTTTGGAGAACCCCCAAATCCCACTCCTGGCTGGCCCCACCCACCCCACCCTGCTCCTCCCAGGTGTCCCCATGCGGCCCGTTTTGGATGCAGGTAAGTGCAGGGTGCACAAGGAGGCTCAGGGAAGGCAAAGAATGGGCCTACCGGAAGGCTGGAAATGGGCCCGTTTCTGGCCTCCAGAGGGCCTCCGGAGCCTGGGGAGACTGTTTTCGCTCTCCTGGAGGCTCAAGGAAAGCCTCCGGAGCCCAGGGAGGGCAAAAATGCCCTCCCCCCCATGGTGCAGGAGATTGACTAGGCCACACCCACCATGGTCATGCCCACCCATCAACCGGGCAGAGAACCCCTTGCTAAAAATTGTTGAAGCCCACCCCTGATTTGAAACCTTGAACAATATATAGTAAATTAATTTTTTTCTTTACAAAGGGTTTGGGTTTTTTTTAAAATGTGTTTTCTTGTAGGAAGCTATTTTGCCAGAGATGCCTGCTACTCCCACGCCTATTGCAAGTCGAAGAAACAAGCAAAGACCATGTTTGTAGCTAGAGTTCTGGTTGGAGACTATGTCCAAGGAAAAGCTTCTTATGTCCGCCCTCCTCCTAGACCTAACCAATCAAACTGCTTCTATGACAGCTGTGTGGACGATGTTCTGAATCCTTCTATTTTTGTCATCTTTGAGAAGCATCAGATTTACCCAGCCTATATTGTTGAGTATGAGGAGATATCCCATTGTGTGATCATGTAAAGGCATCAATTCTTTGCTCTCTTTTTTTTTCAAGACCTTTTGTTTCTTTTTATATGTATATATAAATTTAAAATATTTCTTATTTAAAAGATGTCTGCGATTCTTTATTTCCATCTCTTGGAGGTAAAAGAAAGAAGACAATGCTTTTGTCTTTTGAATACTTTGCTCAGTAATTTCATCATCACCGGCAACAATTTATTATGAATAATAAGTAAAACTGGGGCTTCTTGTTTTAAATAAATAAATCTTTCATAAACATGCAAAGTGTGTATATACTGATGGGGCTGTGTGCACAAACAAATATGCACACAAACATTTACAAGGCCCTTTCATTTAAGATGCTGAAGTCCCTTTAATCATGAAATAATAGCACAGCTACAACTCTTGATGGTGCATAGCAAAATGAATGCTTTCTGAATAGCAATTGAATCTCCTCCATAATCCAGCCAATTGGTGCAACCATGATGTCTGTTGTGGAGCTCTTTTTGGAAAAGTCTGCTATGCTGTGGTTACTACTTGTTAAGAAATGGAGAGCTGCTTCACTTGGCTAACGGTAGAGGGCAGCAGGAGGATAAGTAAGAGATTGAACAAATCTTCCATGAAGTCTCAGGAAGCTTGGTAATTTTTATATGATTGTGGATGAATAAAGATGATATGATTGCAAATGCATAATACTAGTTATTATTATGCATAATAAAGTTTAGAAGATATTAGGGCAGCAGATCTGGTTTGCAGAAATCAACACACCTTAGCTCTTTCCTATCATCTAATGATAGTCCCAATTTTTGCAGCTGGGAAAAAGTTTCAGTTGAGAATAAAGAGCAGCTTTGGAGACCCATAAAAGATGTTTGAAACATGGCTTGGCTTATATTGCATCTTGCATGAAAAAACCACCTATAAATCTTTAGGATATCTTCTTGTTAAGAGTTGTTGTATTCCAGTGTTTCTCAACCTTGGAGAACTTGAAGATGTGTGTGGTTCAATTCTCAGAATGCTGGCTTGGGTATTCTGGGAGTTGAACTCCACACATCTTCAAGTGGCTGAGGTTCAGAAACACTTTTTTTTATTCCACAGACAGCTCATTTTCTTTAATCATTGGCCCATTAAAATGTCATGCATGAAATGGTTGAATTTAAATCAACTTGAAAGTTACTTAATAGCTGTAGCATGATGATGATTACAGGCTTCTAAGTAACGCTGAAGCATAATTCTCAACATTCCTCAGCTTTGAGAACCGGGTTGAGGGCTGTGAATGACTCGTAATCCAGCAACATCTGGAGAACCAGAAGGCATGGGCTTTTCTTCAAGGAATTTTCAGGAATGTAATATATTGGATGGAAGGCATTGGCTCATACATCAGAGGACACATTTTCAGGACAATTCTTTGCTGTTGTAAATTCATTGTAGAAATGAGCAGAGTGGAGGAGTTTAAATTCTGAATGTTGGGTATTCTGTTTCTATTTTGGAGGGCAGAATTCAGCTATATAACTAGGATTAGTGTCAAAACCTCCTATAATAATGCAAGGAAAGTTGGGTTGCATCTTTTTGACTGTATTAGTCACTTTAAAAGAGGAGGTGGAGAAGTTAAAGCTTCCCTTTTGAAGAAAACCTAATGGCCTGACATTAGGAGTCAAGGAGTCTCCCTGCCATGGAACAGAACAGAATAATACTTGGAAGGGACCTTGGAGGTCTTCTAGTCCTCCTGCTGAGGCAGGAAATCCTATATCGTTTCAGACAAATGGTTATCCAACATCTTCTTAAAAACTTCCAGTGCTGGAGCATTTACAACTTCTGGAGGCAAATTGTTCCACTGGTTAATTGTTCTCACTGTCAGGAAATTTCTCCTTAGTTCTAAGTTGCTTCCCTCCTTGATTAGTTTCCACCCATTGCTTCTTGTCCTACTCTCAGGTGCTTTGGAGAATAGTTTGACTCCCTCTTCTTTGTGGCAGCCCCTGAGATATTGGAACACTGCTATCATGTCTCCCCTACTCCTTCTTTTCATTAAACACGACATGATAAAAGGGTTTATTACACAAGTTAGAGACCACAAAATATTGCATATATCAGTCTTGGCGTTTCTCAACTTTACCCAACTTTAAGCTTTGTGGACTTCCAGAATTCCCCAGCTAGCATGCTGCCTGGGGAATTCTGGAAAGCCACCCAGCTTAAATTTTTCAAGATTGAGAAACACTGTTTTAATTGTTGTGTTTCTAGCAGGGGTGAAATCTGGAGAAAGATTCGTTTTTATGAATGAGAACAGGTCTACCTTCTTCAAGCCCCTTGCTTGAAAGGCAAGATGTAAACCAGGAATGGGCACATTTAAAACTCTGAGAGCAAGTTAGAGGCACCTTCCTAAAATGCTTGCTAAAAAGGCTTGCATAGTCATTAAAAATCTGGTACATGCGTTTTAACAGGAAAAATATTCCATTCCTTCGGCTATCAAGAGGCTGCTCAGGGGTGAAATTCAGCAGGTTCTGACAGGTTCTGGAGAACCGGCAGCAGAAATTTTGAGTAGTTAGGAGAACCGGCAAATACCACCTTTGGCTGGCCCCAGAATGGAGATTTTGCAATATCCTTCCCCCAGGAATGGGGAGGGAATGGGGATTTTGTTGTATCCTTCCTCTGCCACGCCCACCAAGCCACACCTACCAAGCCACACCACGCCCACCATGCCACGCCCACAGAACCAGTAGTAAAAAAAAATTGAATTTCAGCACTGCCAGAGCTGCAACCACTTACAAGTTGTATCTTCTAAAGATACAATAGAGATGTCAATAGAGCAAATAATGATGATTCCAGAAACTGACCCTTTGAAGCGTTGCAGCTTCCCAGTTTGGTTTTCTTTTAATTAAAAGAGTCTAGAAATGAAACAGGCAGGGAATCCTACACCAAGAGAGATGTTTCAGCAGCCTTCCCCAAACTTTTATGTTCTCCAGATGGATGGACATCAACTGACAGAAGGTTTGTCTACAGGAGGTATTGCTGAGATTTCTGAGAATTGATCCACATTTGTAGAGGGCATTCTGGTTGGCTAAAGCCCATCTATGGCCATGTTGTTTATACCTTTTGACAACATTAAAACTGAGGGTAATACATAGACTTCCCTGCATATGTAGCAACTGTTTTACACAACAGGGCTATGTAAATTTTTGGAGTCCTTTAATCTGACAATGGCTCAAAGCTGCTTCGGTAAACAGTGCCATCCCCGCCCTTCTAAGAGCCAAGCCAAACAGCTGCAGTGCTCCCCTTTGCATCTTTTCTGAGATCTCCTCTGATAATTCCAAGAGCTAAAAGGAAATTTTTGCAGTGTATTAGTCCAAGAGCAAACACCAATCCAAAAGAAGCTGTGGAAATGAGCTGTGACTTAGCTTGGTTTTCTTTCCAGTACATTTACAGGAAGCTCAATTTTGAACAATAGAATTATACAAATAAAAATAACTTGTTTTATAATATATGGACTTCTGTCAGTAGAACTACTATATATGAGAAGATCTATTTTTTGGCCAAGGCTATTAAAATACCACCTTTTATTTTAAACTGTAAACTCAGCAAGTTAGTTCTAAGTTTTCATGTCTGGATATTTGAAGTTTAAATTTTACAGATGACTTAATAGAATACTTGGAAATGAGAAAACTGGTTTGTTCTGTACTACTAGACAGAAGAATAAAATTTCAAACAGCAGTATATCAAACACAACTTTAATTTCATTAAAAAAAAAACTCTGCTCCTTTATTAACCAATCTGCTATATGCTATGTTAAATCTGCCCTAATAATCCACATTTGCCCTTGTACTGGGATAGAAAAGTGTATCTGCCTTTGAATTTGAATGGGCTTTTTGCAATTCTGAAACAAGGCCAGGATTTAAAAGAAAGTTACTGTACATTGAAACTCTACCTCTTTCAACCCCTTCTCTAAATTGTTGCCAAATTGTAATATTTAAAGTGTTAGATGTGCTTGTTAGATGTATAAATGTATGTGGGCTGTAACTGTAATCAAATTTAAATATTACATTTACATGTTTCATATTCTCACTTATTTTTTTATAGTATGGAACTGGTTTGAACCTCAAATCCCTTAGGTTGCGCATTGGATTATACCACATCTCTTACTCAGAATAACAGAGTTGGAAGGGACCTTGGAGGTCTTCTAGTCCAACCCCATGCTCAGGCAGGAAACCCTATACTGTTTCAGACAAACGCTTGTTCTTCTCTTCTTAAAAATTTCCAGTATTGGAGCACCCACAACTTCTGGAGGTAAGTTGTTCCACTGATTAATTCTTCTAACTATCAGGAAATTGCTCCTTAGTTCTAGATTGCTTCTCTCCTTGATTTGTTGTGTCTTGTCCTGCCTTCAGATGCTTTGGAGAATAGGTTGACTCCCTCTTCTTTATCACAGCCCCTTAGATATTGGAAGACTGTTATCACGTCACCCTTAGTCCTTCTTTTCATTAAACTAGGCATACCCAATTCCAGCAACTGATCTTTATATGTTTGAACCTTAGTCCCCTAATAATCTTTGCCATCATCGTTTTTGGATGAGGAACTTCAAACAAGGCCCCCAACTTTTGACTCCTTCTAAGCACACTTCATTCTGGCTTGATTGTAGCCAATTGAAGAATTACTCTGAAATAGGCATCTCACTTTTTCAGTGTTGATCCTAAACCAAGAACACTCGTTTTTTTCATTTAAGCCACTGGAGCTTTGTATTTTGGATTGCTTACAGTACCCAACTGGGTTTATTTTGTGTTTTCTGCTGAATCATGATGTATTGTTTGATTATTTTTGTATGTTGTTTGACTCATGAGATTATATTAGTCTTTCATAGTTTAATGCCTTCCAGATGTGTTGGATCAATAATAGCAATAGCACTTAGACTTATATACTGCTTCATAGTGCTTTACAGCCAGTGGTGGGATTCAGCCAGTTCACACCACATCGGGAGAACCGGTTGTTAACTTTCTGAGCAGTTTGGCAAACTGGTTGTTGGAAGAAATAATTAGGGCAGAGAACCGGTTGTTAAATTACTTG